AGAAGTGAATTTTCATCCAGAAATTTAAACGGTGCGATCAGATATCAGCCGTGGAAATCCTTCCAACATGTTAGCTCACCAACAAGTATGATACGAGTGTTGTAAATCTAACCATACAACGCTTTCAGCTTCATTTCCATAAAGATTTCAGTTGTATACCCCCCTCTCCCCGAATGTTGCCGACAAACATGATCAACTAAACAGAGGTGTGAGGGTCAATTAGTCCCGTTTGAAGGAGGATAATTTGAATGCTTAAGTACCATAGGAGGACAGCGGGGTGCTCAGCATTAGTCGATCTGTGGGTGGCTTTGATTTCTCCCTGAAGGAGCCTCTCCACCATGTTTGAAGGGGCTCCTCCTTTGTGTTAACAATTTAGAATTCTCTTGATCTAAGTTCCTGATTGATGAGGATAAGAAGAAGAAGGAAGGTAAAAAAAAATTGAAAAAAATAAAAAGGAACCAAAAAAGGGATGTGGTCATTGCTACTCTTCAATGTTTTTAAAAAAAAATTAAGTGTGAATTTGCCTTGGGGCATCATCCAGGGCTGAGCTTTCATGAGCCAGGCATGTCTTTATGCCTCATCATCCCCCAGAACCATCTGGAAGACAAAAGGTAAGTAAAAATAATGGATTGATCATGATGGAACCCCAGAGTCAAAATCGGTATAAAAAGGCCTGCTAAATTTTAGGAAACTCTGGTGAGGCCTCTCACCAGAATGCTGGCCCCTAAAATGAGACATGCCCGTCAGTGTTTTAAAACTGTAGGATGCTTATATTTGTTTGTATTACAAGAAACTGGTAGATATAAAATAAAAAAAATAAAAAATAGTTCTCCATTTTAGAGGCTCTGAAATTTGCATCATTTCTGCATCATCATTTAAGGGAGACATTCAGAAAATAACGCACACAGCACAGCTCTCAAACACTATGGAGGCAGTGGGGGTAAATACTGGTGTTCAATCATAGACCGTAATGCTGGAAACCCAAGTTTGATCCCTCATTGACCTCAGGCACTGCTGGTTAGAGATCAGATAGAGGAGAAAAGTGTATGGTTATCCTTAGAGAGAAAAAAATAAAAATAAAAACCCCCAAAAAGTTGGAAGTCTACTGGTTTGTGACAAAAAAAATTACCTGGAACAAATAGAACTGACTTTTGATGGCCTTGAGACAAAGTCCAGTTTTTGTCAACTTACCACTTAATTCCGCAAGTAACCACAATTGGCAGTTTTTTTTCTGTGCCTTTTATCCTAGTTCAGGACATTGATGATAGACATAATTAAACTTATAAATCAAATGTAAAAGTTGAATGGAGACAAATGCATCTTGTGTTTAGTTAAACAGTCCACATGATCGATTTGATGTTTATTTCTTAACTGCTGTATTTTCACCAGAGGCTACGGCAAAAGGCAAAACTGAATGGAAACGAATTACTGTGTAAGTTTCCTGAAGGGGTAAACTAAGTTATGCTCTATGAGTACGACATTGTTTTAATGAGCTACGTTGTCCTTTACTGAGGTGCTGAGACCCGACGGGGGCTACCATCCACACACACACACACACACACACGCAAGGTCTGAGAACTCACAAACAGCTAAACGTTCATCCTGCAGAAAGGGAAAAGGAAATGTAAATTATGATGACTTGTTTAACGAGATTAGTGTGGCAACAGCACAAGTATGATTTCAAACACTCCTCCCAACCAAAAGCTATAGCTCAGCACACACACACACACACACACACACACACAGCCGTGACACAAGAGCTTACAAAGGAGTGTGACAAACTTGCCGGCGCCCCTCTCAGGGTGACGCTACAGTTGATTTGGGAATTACAATTAGATTTATGATGTGGCTGCATATGGCTGAGCTCTCTGTTCCTCTCCCTGCTCTGCTGGGATTGGCTGCAGCGAGCACCGGCGCCGTGGCGTATACACCACAGCACAGTCAGAGTGTAGTTACCTCACACACCAACACACACACTCACACACACATACACACGCACAATGGAACAATAGGCCACATTTACTGTAATGGGCCACCAAAATATAAAGAGCGAGTGGAATAGCTCGCCGTTGGAAACAGAAAGCCTTGTGTTGGAAATTATTAGATCCCTGGAAAGTAAGGGCAGCGTTTAGAGCAGTGGAAACAAAAAATCATGCACTACCTGTAACTCGTGCATGCTGCTTTGGTACACAGATTCCACGTCGCTGTGCCCTGTGCTCCTTTCACAAAAAAGCAACGATGGAGGGAGCAGATTGATAAAGAACATCCCAAGACTTTACTTTTTTTCCTTTTTATTTATATATATTTTTTGGATTGTCTTTCTCACCAAGTTGTACTGACACTTTTTAGAGCCAAAACTGGCTAATAAATACAATGAAATGTTAAAACGCACAACTGAATTTCAAATACAACACTCATCACAAAAATGTGTGTGACCATGAAATGTGTGTTCTGCCTCTGCAGGTCACAACCAACAAGAGCATGAGGTTACCTTTTAAAAGAGATCAGACGCTGTGTGACCCCCCACTACAGCTGCAGAAAAATAAATTGCTTAAATAGATTAAATGTTTTCGAAAGAAATGGCAATTTACGGGCGCCCGTCATGTACAAGGCTCCAAAAATGTGACTTTTTGCTGACTAATTTATCATGTTTTAAATCAAAACAACAACTTCACATTAGTCAATACTAAAAAAAAAAAAGAAACAAAAACAAAACAACATAGAATTAATATCCAGTGCTTAGGATGTGTGTGACACCAACAGAAATGACTATGCTTGAAGCTTTTTCATGTAATGAAAGCTAAAAAAAAACAAAAACGTTCAGTCCCAGCTTGTCATGCTTTTCCATGTAAAAACTGCCAGATATGGTCATGAGGAGAGAATCTGGAGTCCAGAGACTCTTGAAGCAGCGACACAGAGCACCCAGAACCTCCAGTGAGGTCGCAAATTCTGAAAATGGAAACATATTTCAAACAGCAGAGAATGCATCGCATTGAAAAGAGACACAGTCGTTTTTTTTTTCTATCAGCGAAAGAATGTGACATTTGAGTTTAAAAAAAAGAAGGAAAGAGGGAGAGAGAAGGCGTGCACGCTGAGCACTGTGCTGAGCGCTGGGCTGCTTCTGAGGAGAGACGAGCATCTCGCTCTGACGGTGGAAAATCTGCTCTGTGGCTCACTGTTACAAACCTTTTCCTCCTCTTTTCTTTTTCTTAATTTACTTGATCTCAAAATATACATGCAATGTAAAAAAGGGCGTCCTGGTTGAAACAGGTGGGCTCACAAACCCGATACAATTTGCAATGATAGAAATTCTTTTTGTTAAAACTCGTGTTTGGCATTTCTTTCTCAGATGATCCTGAGAAGTCATAAGAACTTTTTTTTTTTTCATCAAAATACAATACAGTAAAGGGATCTGGGACATTTTGATCCTACAGTATAGCCTCTCCACCGCTGATCTCTCCCATTTTCTCTGATGCGGAGTAAGCAGAGCTCAGGGCGCACCTTTAAGACTTTAAGCAAATTCTCAAAGTGAAACCGAGCTGAAAAGCGTCTGTAGGTTTAGCCGGGTTTAAAGGGACAGACTGGTGCTGCCGTGCACTTGATGCAAAAGTTTGGCCTCAAGGCGCCACGGCCAACGTGGTTCCTGAAAGCACCGCTGCGGAGGGGGGAGAGGGACGGGCCCCCCCCCCCTCCCCCCCGCTGATCAACTCTAAACGTCTAAAGCCAGAGAGGGGCTGACAGAAAAAGCCTGCATGTGTATGCATGTTTGTGTGTTTGCTTGTGTGTGTGCGTGTGTGTGTGTGTGTGTGTGTGGTTGCGTGTGTGTGGATGCGACTGTGACCGAGCGGGGGTGATGAAGACATATCCTCCCTGAGCTCTGCCTGTGAGGGGGCCAGTAAGGGAGCCAGCAGTTACTAAGTAAGAACCCATTTCATCAGATAGAAAAAGCTGATTGTATAAGACTTTTTTGCAGCATTGGAAATTAAGACTACAACATCCCAAGAAAATGTGAATGTTTGGCACATTTGAACAAACTGTACAATGTCTGGGTACCTCCTTACTTAATAACACTAACAATAATAATAATAATGATATTGTAATAATAATAATAATATGAGGGATTTCGCTCCCTTTATTCATTGAAACTTTGAAAAGTCCTACCACTCTTTTTTGTATGAAAACAAAACAAAAATAAAACACATTCACAAGCTGGCACATCATACCTGAGCTGGGATATTAAAAAACACGAAAAGAAAAAAGAAAAACTAACAGTAATGTAATGTAAGCAGTTTGTCAGGGGGAAAAAAAAGATGTAGCACTGTATTTATAAGGAAAAAAAAGTAAGACTATAAGATTACAAGAGCTAGGATTTATATTAAAAACGTTCCAAATTTTAAGTCCGGACAGTCCAGAGTTTGTACAGGCAGTGACCTGTCAGAAAGAAGTCTAAAGAGCAGAAAACAAAAAGGAGAGGGGAAAAAACACAAAAAGTGAATACATAATAATAAAACTAACACACTCCTTAAACATTTAAGACCAAATAGCTGTCAAAGAGCAAGTCGCAATGCTTCAAAACCCATGCACGCTCTTTACAAACCACACTCCAACCTGTTCATAGCTCATTTGTTCTTTGTCTCATTTTCACTTATTCTCTTCCCACCTCTAACTATTATTCGCTCCGGTTAAGATTGTCAAAGAGTCGAAGAACTGAGTTCTTTGTCAGCGTGGGTGTCTGCGTTATTGTTCGGGTTGTGTGGTCGGGCCGCACTTTCCCAGTCGACCCGCTTCTTGATTTGGGCATCGGTCAAGAACCTGCTCCAGAACTTTCCGTAGGTCTTCTGCCTGGTCTGGGCGCGCTCAGTGCCTGCGGCAGCATGTCCTGAACGTTGGCCTGAGAGTCTCCTCAACAAAACATGTTTGCAGGGTTTGTCTCTGTTTGATGGTTGTTGTTGTGTTGTTGTGTTGTTGTTGTGTTAATGTGTCTGCAGCTCTGAGCGCGCTCAGTTGGCACTGACGGCCTCCCGCGTCTCGTGGTCGCTGCTATAGTCTGACTTGGGCTCGTCCTCAAAGTCCTCGTACATGTCCATGTCGTCGTCTCCGTTGGCGGGGTCAGTGGGCAGGTCCAGGGCCCCCCCCCCGCCGCCGTTGCCCCCCCCGCCCGGCTCGGGCTTCACGCCGTACGTGCTCTGGATGACCGGGATGGCGGGCTCGGGGCTGGCCGAGTTGCTGGAGCAGTCTGAGGTCATGTGGGGGGAGGGCGTGGCCGTCGTTGCCATGGTGATGGCGCCGGGGTAAACTCCCACGCCTCCCGGGCTGTTGCCCAGAGACATCGGAGGCTGAGGCCTGAGAATTTACAAATCGAAAAAGGAAAGACAAAACAGAGTTTAAACAAAATTCAACCGACATAAGACAACATAAAACTGAAAAGATGAAAAGGAAAAATGTATTTGGTCATCAAACATTTTACAATTAGAACGCAGCAAAAAAAAAAAGTTTTTCACGTGGCTGCTTAAATAAATTAATTAGTTACTGCATAGTAGAATAGAGCAATATTTAAAGAAATTATACCTGTATTAAGGGTTTTTTTCATCATACTTTTTAATCAATTAATTCAATTCAATAAATTAAAATAGCTGCAACAGCTAGCTTAAACTTGGAAGCTCATCTGTAAGCAGACAGCTAACTATGTAACATTACGCTACATTTGAAAACATGTTATCTTTTATTAAAATAGTCATCGAAAAACAATCTCACTAGTGTTTTATCATTTTTAGTGTAATATTTCCATAGATTGGTGGTGTGGTAAGGTCCCTCCATATTGAAAAATAATAGCTTTAAACAAGCTCTGATTGATATGTTCCAAAAGTGTATTTAGTTTATGAAAATGTATGAAATATGACAAAGAAAACAATGTTGGTAATGATAAAACAATATATATGTTATCTTAAGGAGGGCAATAATATTTGTATTAAATTCAATCCAATTGTTATATATCAGGATTTTAGATGGTAAGGCTTTTTACTTAAAAGGACAGCCACTTTATGTCCATCTACTGGACAGCCAAGACAGATTAATTTATACTCAAAACAAAATATGAATATGAACAGTAAATCAGTTACACTAATATGAAAAAAGCCGCATGTTTTTTCATATTTGTACAAGATAAAAAGATATGCTTTTGCCAAAATCACAATATTATCTGAATAACTGCTTTAAGCAAATATTCAAAGGTGAAGATACGTATGGGGATATGTGTCCTAACATGGAGCTCTGCGTGCCAAAGAAATGGTCGGTAAACATCTGGGTTTAGATATAGATAGTATGGGTGAATGCACATGGCTCAAACGGGTTCCTCACATAAACCACATCAGCAGGAAAATTGTCACCTCCATCAATTATTGGTTTAGCCTCCTCTGACTCCTGATATTATTACCACTGCACACTCCGACACAGATGCTCTAAAACACTGGGAACAAATGGAAAGTGCAGAAGCCGGTTGTGCAGCTTTAACTGAAATGTCAGGCCTGGAGAATGGGAGCCCTTTTACATTCACTTGACCACACGCAGTAAACGTGGCGTTCCGCCTGCGACGGCTGACTCTCAAACATCTGCTTACATTTCATATTCCACTCCGTCTGTCTGTGTCCAATTTTACTGCCCACAAGCGCCTAGCATTGTCCTAATTTAATAAATGACAAGCTATTAAAAGTTGCTCCTATTCAAGCTGCGGCCTCTGGTAAATCCATCTGAAATGCGGGCCGCTGGGATGGATTTAAACACGTCTAACACGACTGGCGCGTATTAAAACAATGCCACTGCTCTCCCTCTGCCACGCTGGCTACACACAAAGACAGATAATCGCACCGCTTAGGAAAAGATAATAAATACATAATCAGACGTTAAAAGGAATCCTGCAGATAAAACCACAAGACATACGAAATCTTTCATATAAAGTCCATAAACCTTGATGTCAGTCCACAAACCTCTGGCAGGCACAAAGGAAAGACCTCACAAGAAGTGCACAACTACTCTTGAAATATTTTAGCAAAATACCTCTGCAACTCCTTCTAAAAGTCATACAATGGCACACCTATTGATGACATCTCTATGATTATACAATGCTTCTGGGATTGTCTGGTGCTTATCTACACCTATTACACAACGTTTAAGCACTGCCTGGACGTCCATGCAAAGGCTCTTGGACACAGTGGAGGAAAAAAAACAGGTACAAATTTGTTCCGATTCTCTTGCAAAGGAAAAAAAGCTACATTAAGATGTAACCTATGCCAATGTCAATCTCATGCCGAAACATTCCAAGAATAAAACTAAAAACAATGCGATCCGCTTCAGGTTTGGGTATCTGCCAGGGTCAGGTCCACAGCCTTTTACTCACCCCACAAAAAACTGCCTCATTTCCTGCCGGCGTGAGCGCATCATCTGCTTGTACTCTCCGATGCGCAGCTTCTTGCCGTCGATGATGCAGGTCCTCTTGGGCCGGGGCTTGTACTTGTAGTTGGGGTACTTCTCCAGATGGATCTTGCTTAAGCGGGCCTGCTCCTCGTAGTATGGCTGCTTCTCCTGATTGGTCATGGCTTTCCAGCGAGAACCTGGAGCAAAGGATCAGGTTTACCGCAAGCCTACGACCTGTTCAATGGTCAACAGTTAAGAGCGAGCTGTTTTTACGTACAAAACAAATATGATATTTCATGGAACTGTGAGCTTGAAAAGTTTAACCTCATGTACTTTATGAGAAAGCCAGAAAGGGCCCGTTTACAGCAGCCCTCCTAAAAATTCTTGGTCTTTTTTATTTCCACCAACACACCTCTTTATGCAACATGGGGGAGTTCTCTGTTCCAATGCTTTTTACAGTATAAATGACCAACGTTTTTTTTTCTTTTCTCTTTTTTGTGTAATTCTGTTCTGTAGTTCAGTACTGGCCTCAGGCTGCCATATGTGTTCACAGCCAGAGAATCAGTGATAGAAAAAAAAAAAACTAACAGTCCACTGTAATGACTCTTTTCTAAGTCAAGAGTTTACATATCACATATCTCTTTATCCTCCCTCCTCCTTTTTGTAGCAGGCACTGCTACAAAAATATGATTTTTTTCATTATACAACACGTTTCAGACAATATATTGAGTTCTCTGCTTTTGGTCCTCTTTCAATACTTTCTTATTTTTACCTGACAACAAAAAGCCATCTGTATTGTGAAAACAATGTTATGAGGGAATGTCTGAATAGACACTTCTTTTACTACAAAATCTCCTCAAAATACAAAGTGTAGATCTCTCTGATGGGCAATATGTCCCTTAATCTCTGCCACCTGACCTCTGACGGAGCTCATAATTATGAGAGCGTGGGGTGTGACTTCTTCTTCTTTACATTTTTATCTCCTCAGCATCAATCAAACCCAAACTAAGGCCAGCTCGGCTGCTCTATCACAGTGTGACTTGTACACAGAGCTGATACTAAAACGACATGCTACATTTTAAAATGGGGTTGAAATCCTTCACTTTGAAACTACTTTAAAACAGACAAAACTTTGTTGGGAATATCTGATGTCAGAGCTTTCAGAGAAAGCAGGAAAAACCTAAAGTTTTTTGGGGGGATAAGAAAACAGTATAGCTTTAGACTGTCAGAAACAGGGCGTAACGGTGACCCGACTGTGCTAGTATTTTATATAATGACATGCAGGAGTCCTAAGTGTCGGCATTTCTAGTCGTTCTCCACCTCGAACGTCTGAACGTGATCAGACACCACTGAGTCTGTTTAAACTGGGGAGCGGGTTACTCTCTGGGAGAACGATAGGTTGTGTACTGCTGATGTTCACTGGTAGGAGGGCTTGTGATAGGGGGGGCCCATTCCTCCACATCTGTGCAGCACTTTGACAACTGATTATGCACACTCTGCCTCGCTCCTCTGTTTATCAAGGTTTATCACAAACTCCTCTTGTACTTTTGTGTCACAGGAAACACAGACGAGTTTCTTTAGGCCTGCCACCCACCCACTCCCCGGTGTCCAGCTGTGTTATCATGCTGGACGGAGATGCGTTGTATATATACAATCATACAAGCGTACACAGCTCTGGGTTTTGTTCCTGTAAAGGTCCCTCAAGGTTAACAAAGGTCTGTAAAATGGCATATGCTGGGGTTTCTGTCAACAGGATCTCATAATTTATTTTAGACATTAAACACAGCATTAAATAAATTAAGGAAAATTGTCACCTTCGTGGCTCATTAAAAGCCACTTGAAGGCAAATTCTTCTGCAAACATTATTTCAATTTAGAATGTAAAAAAATGTCTTCTTATAAATTCTGGAAGCCTTTTGAAGGACACAAAACACTTCTTTGTAGGACCCCATTCAAAAAAAAAGAAAAAAGAATGACCCAGACCCGCCACAGAAAAAGGAATTTGTTCTCGGTGCTCAGGAGCCGCGTTTACATTCAGAAAGCCTCGAGCTGGCTGGAACCCGTCGGACAGCGGAGGTCTGAGGGGCGTCTCACCAACAACCGTTCTGCTCTGCCCCGTGTGAATGGATATCTGTGTTAGGAGGTTAGAATCCACATGGATTTGAACTGAATGCATCCATCACACTAGTCAGGCTGACACAGAGGAGCTCTGTGTGTGGAGGGGTCCTGCTGAAAAACACATTAGTCCTCCTCATAATCTGCAGCTTGTTGGTAAGAAACCCAGTGAACTATGAAATATTGTGGGAGACAAACCTAATGAGCACAGAGGCTCACCTTAAAGAGAGCCACGTGAAACTGATGGGGGGAGAAGGGACACAAAATTGCCGATGAGTTCTGTTTGTCCATCGGGTGTTTGAGGCTGAGCGTTTCCTTCATAGTGGTATGTGCGACCATTCTGTGCCCCCAAAACAACGAGAGGGCCACGTTTCACTTTGTTTTACCATCCCAGAGTTGACTGATGGAGGATAAATCTGTGAAACTCACCTAGGATCTTGCTGATGTTGGAGTTGTGCATGTCGGGGAAGGTCTGCAGGATCTTCCTCCTCTCGTCTTTGGCCCACACCATGAAGGCATTCATGGGCCTCTTGATGTGGGGCTCAGTGCTGTTCCTGCCCCGCGCCTCTCTGAAAACTCTGGCCTCTGTGATGTTATTCCCTAAGAAGACAGAAGAAACCATATTTGGCATCACTTTAGTACTTTCATGTTAGAAATAATGAGGTGTAATCCTTTATCTCCTTTATTGGGAGGATTTTCTGCCTTTTCTAGTGAGAAGAAGAGTGACAAAAGTAGAGGGAAAAGTCCAGCGGGGTGTGTCTGGGCTGTGCCCTCCACATCCTAACACAGGCCAAACATCAACTATGCTCAGCACAGCCCGTTTGCTTGTGCCTGTGTTTACTCCGATGGCTAAACTGACCACGATGAGCCCTCCTCAGCTTCTCCCTGCCTGTAAACAGTGGTGCTTTATGAGAACCAGGTGTGTGTTCGGAGTGTCTTTTTTTCCCTTTTTTTTTTTCCGGCATTTATCTTTGACCATAATGCTCCACAAACTTGCTGCCTGTCTCTTTGGTTTGCATTCCAGGTTGGATTAGTCTCACAAACATTTAAAGGAGGCGAGTTTATCCTGAGAATTCGAAAGACGATAGCACAAAATGGTATTGAGCGCTGTTTAGTTGTTGTGGGTGTCCTTCAGCGCAGCTTCCTGAGAAGCATAATAAATATTTGCATTTGCTGAATACAGTGTGGATGCTCGGCGTGTTTAAGCAGACCTGAGAGTGACTGATTTTCTGTTTGGTGTTTTTGTTGGAGCGTGAGCATTTGCATTAATTTGCCCTCTGCTAAATGCTAAGTCAGTGTGAGTAAAGGTGTGTGTGGCAGAGGCTCTCACCATCGAGGTCCTCTGGTCTTGTGAGGTCGATGACCCGGTGGACCATCTTCCCGGCGTCCTCCCCGAGCTTCCCCAGGTGCTGGCTCAGAGTCTCATAGTGCAGCCGCTCCTGTGGGGGAGGGAAACGTTCACCAGGTTACTTCTTTTTATCGGAGCGCCCTCATGTGTGGCTGCATACAGTATCCAAATCTTGTTGTACGCATGTATAATGACAATAAAGGCTTCTAATTCTAATTCTAATTCTAATTCATGTGTGTCTCAAAAGACGGTGGCACTGCAGAGATTTCCAACAAAGGCTATGTGAAACAGTTTCTGTTACGCTGCTGCCTCAGATTCATGGACGTTTTATCGTGGAAAGCAGAGCAGGGCTCCTGCAGGTTTCTTTTTGGAACTTTGCTTTTTTTTTTCTTGGATAGACTTTAATGGAAATGAAGATTTGAATGTATTGAACTAATATGTGAGGTATTCCTTTGCTCAGGCAGCCTGCCGTCCGTATCGTTGGTGCCGTATGCCTGCCACTCTGTTTCTGAGACCTACAGCCTCCACCAGCCGGCCGGCTAAAATTATCCCACCACGCTCCTGAGCAGCGGCACAAACCATCCAGTCCCTTTTGCGCACAAACCGCATATCCTCGCTCCTCTCCTCCCCCCTCCGCCCCCCCCCGCCTCCCTCCCGGCACCCCTCCTTTTTCTGGTGACAGAGGCATTTTGTTTGACGCAAAGAATGGTTGCCGGGTGAAGTCATGCCGCGGTAGCCGCTGGCAGAGTTGGTGGAACTTAGGGGCCAGCGTGTGTGAGTGTGTGTGTGTGTGTGTGTGTGTTTATAAATGAGGAGCTGGTGCGGGCCAATGTCAGCACTACAGCAGGGCTGTAATCAGGCCCACCACAGAACATGTGCCTGGGCAGTGCCATGCTCACCGCAGGAAGCAACTGCCTAACAAAGGACGAAAGAAAAGAAAGACAGGAGGGAGGGACAGGGAAGCGAAAAGGGGAGGTGGAAAAGAAAGCGTCAAGAGGGAGATAAGCCATCAAATGGACTGAGAATCTGCTATCAGGCTCATGCGGTGGGAAGCGACGGCCGGCGGAAAGTGACCACTACTGATGCTGCTTCTGGATGAAAATATGAAGGCAGGATGTCCAGTAGAGCCTAATATCTAAACAAGCCCAGCAGCGAGAGCTGTGTGACTGTTCCCAGCGAATGGGAGGAGACCAACGGAAAATAATGCAGAGGAGAGTTGAGGTTTTGGAAAATACACTGAGACAGCATCAATAGAAGGAGAAGGATCCAAGCTACAGATTTACAGCAGCCCTGGGTCAAAATTTGCAAATATTCCCTGCGGTTGGTCTACTTTTTGGTCTCTTTAAAAGGTTTTGTGGCAAATGCAATAAGGAGCTGTCTTTCCTTTGTTTAGTCAACATTGAAATAGGTTTGGCCTGAAAGCCTGCTGGTTTCAGACTGGACTGCTGCCTTTTGGACGACTATTCAAGATAGTTTTCTTTCATTGAACTCCATGTGTGTCTTGTACAACAATAAAAATCTTGAAAAAAAGAATAGAAAAGGGAAAAATATCATTCACTTTTCAGAATTTAATGTGTGCAAACAAGTAACCCCGAAACAAAAGTCAGATCAGTGAGCTGCTGTACTTTCAGCACATTATTGCTTCTGGCCTCTAAAATGTATCTGAAAGTGTATTTCTAAGTTTAAGAGACACCCGACTCTCTCTTGTTCCGCATGGTCTCTCCGCTTCTTGGCGCCAGCGTCTCCTCACCGTTGCTAGGGGTAACGCTGCAAACGTGCCTCTCAGTGTGTGTGTTTTTTTGAAAGATTTTTATTCATTACCACTGTTACGACTCGCCCTCCGCCAGTATGACGCGCCTCCAACTGACCCGCAACCGTTTACTGTCTCCTCTACCTCCTCCCCCCCCCACCGCCTCTCCTGCTCTCCCTTATCTCCCCATCTATCTTCTGCTCTGTCCTTCTCCACACTTTGCCGCTGTGCCGAAAGAGCTGTCAGTCATCCCTTTTCCCCCTCTCCTTTTCACCATTCCTTCTATTCATAGCCCTGAACGCTCCAACGCCAGCCCTCCAGCACTCAGGGCTCTTCCACCAGAAAAAGCAGACTTTCAAAACTCTGTGTACAGGTGCCAGACTTGGCGTTGTACTTTGCATTATTATTACGTACATCGTTCATGGCTTCGAATGCAGCAGCATTATGTCAACCTTTAATCAAGACTTGGAAGTGTCCTCGCTGCTGGTTTCACATCCTCTCTTCCTATGAAAAGCAAACCCACCAGCGGAGCCAGTATTAACCTCCACACAATCAATCCCCACTCGCTCCCTCTCTTCAGAGAGCCTTCTTTTTCCTTTGCTAATGGAAAGGGTGCCGACTGGCTTCAGCAGAAAAAAAACAGAGGATCTTTCTATCGAGTTTTTTCAACATTTTGGGGGAAAATTGCAAAAGTGTAAACGCATCCCCAGCTAAGTGTAGCAGAATGTGCTAGCAGAGGTAGGGTTTTAGAAAGTGCACAGCTTTTTGATTGAGGAGGGGTTAAATGTACAGAAAAAAAGGCTTTTTGACTATATATACAAATATTTGTTTGCCATTTAAAGTCTTTGTTAACTGAAGTTACTCTGTCATGTGCAACTCGAGCCGCCATATTTACCAAAAATACACTCCATATAGATCTGCTTTATTTTCAGCCTTCTGGTGCAGTGTTAAACATTCATCCCTGCTTTTGTGGAATCATGGAGACCTGTTTACAGATGTAGAGGAGTACAGCAGGCTTCTGCACATCAACCCTCACAGAAATATTCTTCTTGCTTGGTTTGGTTTTCCAAACTCCCTGGAGCAGTCGGTATCTTGTCGGTATCTCGAGCAACGGTACTCAGAATGGGTCCAAATGAAAGCAAACCCATTCAAAATTAAGAATAATATAATCGATATATCTGTATATGTCATAGCGAATGAAGTAAGCACTATGTAACGTGAATTTTACACCATGCTACCCATCTGCTTGACAGTTATTAACGTAGTCCCCTTCTTTCTTAACCAATAAACGTCCATGTCGATATACATCACAGCATGTGGAAAAGCTGTTGGACACTTTACTGTTGGGTATTACTTAGGTTACCATTGAAATGATGGTAAGTGTTCTTTTCATCAATCTTTAAGCTCTTGCAGTTGTTGGTGTTGGATGAAATGATTGGCAGAGGGATCATTTACCCAGCCACAAAGTTAGCAATGACGTGAGGCAACACGGATGCTCTCTGGTAACAAAGTAAACAACTGCCTGATGCAAAATTGATGCGGTGTGAAAATCCAAAATGCAGCCTTTGCTCAAACTGGTCTGAAATGTTTGAGGTTTGACTTGTTTTACAGTTGTATTGGTTGTTCCCTCCTGTTCAGAGGAGGTGTCGGCCCGTCTCCTCCTGTCAGAATTCCTCCCTGATTTTCCAAACAGAAAATGTTCTGACTGTGCTGTTGTTCAAACACACACACAAACACAAACACACACACATACGTATTATACACAACAAAAAGCCAAACATCAATTTGAGTTGCAATCCAACAGTAAAAAGTAAGATGATAAACTAAATAAATCTTGTTTTTGACACTTCTTAACTTAATTGATTTGCACAATAAGATTGTGATTTTCATTTTATTTACCTATGTTTTGATTTCTATACATACAGATGTAACAGGTTCTGAATATTATTGAGAATGTATTTTTGGTTGTCATTGCATTATTTAAGGTAAGATAAGTTAGCTGTCCATCATAATGATGAGGTTTCTTTTGGCCTTTAAGTGGGTGAACAGTGTCTTGTGACTGTTGAGAGAAAAAAAAAAAAGCTGCACCCAAGTGCTCACAGTCTTTTATAAACTCACACATACGTGTCCACACACCCACACAGTCCCAGGCCTACACAGTGGCTATTTCAGTGAGCTTTGGCAGCCGCAGGCCAGCTGGAAGCAACGTAAGCGTAAGGTGATACTCAACAATGCCACTAACTGGCCAGGCCTCTCGTCTGTACACCAGCTATAATGACATTAACATGGCCAAGGCCAATCTAGAGCCAGGACGCACAAACACACACACACAAAGGAACTGGGGATCACTTTCAGCTCTTCGGGAACTGTCTATGTAGTCAATGCTGGAAATGAATGCCGTGGGACGAAAATATACAAATATACAGGCAGCAAAATAAAGGCAAACGCACACGCACACACACACACACACACACACAATCAGACGTCACAGCAGCTCGCTTTGAGTCGAATCAGCGCTGGCAATAAATAGCTCAACATTAAACGTTACACTTAGATATTATTTACAGCCCTGCCTTATTCCCTCCAAAGAAGCAGAATGTGCTGCGTTGGTGCAATGGCGTAAGAGAGAAAGACTTGGGCGGAGTCTCCAAGTTTCATAGGGGAGAAAATTGAAGCGAGCAATAGAAAACAGCACACAAATCCAAGGTAAAGAAAAAAGCGCCGGTTGTGTTGCCTGTCGCGGTGGAACAGCTGAGTCACACTCTCAGTCTCCAGCAAGTTCCATCCATGAATTGTTTAAGACAGAGCGAAGCCTTTGAGCACTTCAGGAAAAGAAGAAAAAAAAAGAAAAACAACCCACAGACAAAAAAACGTCTCCTTTCCAATGAAAAAAATGATGCATTCACAGCTAAGAGAAAGAGTCTTTGAGTGCCTGTTGTTAGGTAACGAAAAACAAACTGACAACAAACACAGAGGCCTGCTGACATCTTTAAACCGGAAACAATTACTTTGAGACTTTTTCCAAATGGGCTTTTTATTAGTAGGCATTTAGCTATAAACTAAATTACTGCATTGCTTTGGTTTTGTTCTTCTAAAGTTGGAAATTAGAGAGCTTTGGGATCATATACGATTCTCCGCAAGACCCTCACCTTAATAAATGTTTATTTCAAAGCTAAGTTTGAGCAATTTTTTAAAAAAAAACTTGTTTTCAGATAAACTTACCAAAACCAGCGGAGGGATTTTCTTTTTGCTGGACCTGCACCAGACTACTTGCATTAAATCTTTATGAACAATTTATCAGCGTGAGCTGTTATATCATTTATATTTATGAGTTTTTCAGTGTTTACTGGTATAATGACTTCTAAAAAAGAATCAACTGGGGACTGAGAGGAAGCGCAGCAGCGATGGATTTTGCCAGATTATGATGTTTTCTTCCTGAGGATGCAAGGCAAACAAGTCCAAAAATTTTTTTCAAAACAGTCTATCCTTGAAGTGCACCAAATATGACCTACTTGGGGTTGGTGGGTTCAAAGTCTCCACCCCTAAAATATTCATGAGTCCCCCCCCCTCCTCATTTTTGGAAGCAACACGGGATCAATTGCGCAGGAGAGCCAGTCTAATCATGTTCCCTTTTTTGTGTTTTCTTTTTTTTTGCAGAATGTCTGATCCGTAGAATCTATGATTGGATGGTCAGAGTGATTGAAGATGTTTTGGAATATGCATTTCCCTGTGGATGTGAGATCTCAGCACAAAGGCCCTGTCTCCATCCACCCAAAGGGAAAAGATGAGCAGGGGAAGAGGTGAGAGTGGAGGGGGAGGAGGTTTTTTCCCTGAGAAAGGGCCCTTTAATTGGGCTAACGCCCTCAGGCCGGGCTGTACCCCCCCCCCCCACCACCACCACCCGCCTTCCCCGACAGGCCAAGCGGAGAGCTGGACTCTATTAAACACACTCACATGGACACACACTAACGTTAACATCATCTCTCCTCCAAAAAAACAGTCACTCAGTCAAGGCGGGCTCAAACACACACACCGGCTAACAAGCCAAAGCCGTCACTTGTCATTGGCCCAGCTGCTCCCTCTTCAAAGCTGCTGGCTTCTGGGTGGCCACGGAGATGAGAGGAGAAACGAGAAGTTCTCAAGAGCTGAAGCGCCAGCCAAATGACACCAAATATCATCTGCGAATATTCCTCGGGCTCAGGCGCGAGCCCAGGAGGAACCTTGAACACTCAGCCAAGGTAACGCCGGAGAAAATGTGACACAGGAATGAGAGTTTACGGAACCACAGGGGCGTGTGGGCGTGTGGCTGTGAGCCTTCCAGGACCAGGGATCTGAATCACAGACCTTGGAATTGTCAGAATGTGAGTCAGCGTCGGAGCGCATCCTCGCAGGAGCCGTGTGTGTCTCTCACCTTGTTGCCGTTGTTGAGGCTCATGCTGCTGAGCGCGTTGAGCTTGGCCTCCAGACTGTGGTGGCCCGCCGGCGGCGGCGGCTGCTGCTGCTGCTGCTGGTGGTGGAGCTGCTCTCTCTGGATCTGCTCCCGCATGCTCCTGGCCTCCTGGATGGCTTTCATCACGGCGTCCTGGTCCCCAAACAGCGCCGTCGAGTTGAGGCTGGACAGGATGTCTTCAGAGGGCAGAGGAGGAAATTAGAGTTCTCCAAACTTAAAACAAACAAAAAAAATCTAATAAAATGACCACATGCAAATTCTTTTCAAGTATCATTTGAACAGCTTTTTTGTTTTTTATGAAGGGATTTCCAGCCCAACGGCAGGTTCACAACAGGACCTCCTCCCCCTTGTTTACATGCCCTGCTTCTCACTTTTGAAACAGATGCACATTTGAAGAAGAAAAAAAAAGAAATAAAAGGATGCAAAGTTTCCGTCGCGCTGCTCGTTTAATTAGCAGAGGAGTAGGAAGCCCTGTACGCTTGGGTGGCCGTTAAAAGGGGCAAAAAATAACTTTGCAGGGAAGGCAAGTGTTGCGTCCTCAAAGCCACTCCAGAGGAGCTGGTGAAATTGTTTTCTGGGGGATATAATGAGAGGCTTTGGATTGGCCTTAATAACAGATAGCAGAGGTAGGGGCATAAAAGGTCTAGCGCGGGCAGACAATAATGTGAGGAAGCTCTTAAAAGCCAAATAACGTGTGCTTGGTTTCACTGTTTCCGCTGGCGGGGTTTTCATTGGGGCTAAATACAGGGCTTTGGACTCCTGTAAAACACACTCACTCAGAATACACACACATGCACACGGCCTCCTCGTGGGGCTGAGGTGTCTGCAGCCTTTTAGGCTCATGTGACACTGTGTTTGTCTGTGGGTGGTGCGGGGGAGGAGGGAGGTGTTTGGGTGGGAGATGTTTTTGTTTTTCCGGTTAAGGGGAAGGCAACATTTCACTCTGGAGCGAGGGTGTGTTTGTTCTGGGTGGATGCACGGCACAGAAGGGAGCAGAACGGCTTGAAGCGCCATCGCTTTATCTCAGACGTATTCAGTTTGTGACACGCGCCTCTTTTGGGTTTCCAGGGTGGTTGGATCACCTACCGAGAGAGGAGTTCCGGCCCATGCTGGGGAGGGGGCTGGGGATGCGGCCTTTGCCCATGCCGGTGGGGCTGGTCTTGCTCCCAGAGAACAGAGCCTGCGTCGGGGACGTCGGGGAGCGGAGAGGCTCGGCGGTCTTAGGTCTGGCTGAGAGGTTCAGTGGCTGAGTGGATCCCTCCTCCTGTTGGCAAAACACAGCCCTGATTTTACTTTGTGACACCTTAATATCAATCTATGGGGAAATAGGAAGTGTTCAGTTTTATCTTTGCTGTACAATTATCTTAATTGGCTTCTGGGTTTCTAAAATGTATCCATTTTGTGCTTCCATCTCGGTTTTTTTCCTATGCCCACTTTGCCTGAATGGGTGGCCAGATGCTGGCTTCCTGTTCTGATATCACCATCAAGATGATCCCTCGCTGCATGTCTCACCACTAAGAAGTCTTTTGAAAGTTTCCGTACATGAAACAAAGGCCTTCTGTTCCTCCTTCCTCCTTACTGTTAAAAGGCATACCTTTTAAGGTTAACTGTCCAGAGACTGTAGGGATGTTTGCTTAGTATGTGTGCTGTTTTTTTCCCCTTTGTGTGTCCATAGTGTGGAACTGCCTCCTACTCTATCACTTTTGGGCTCCTGGAAACCCCATTACAGAACAAGGTGGATACATAGAATAGCTGCAAAATTTACTATGATTATATCAATGGTAACCATAGCAACAGAGCTTCACAAGTGAATAGTTCAGAACTTTTCATCTTCAATCATCAACATTTTGAAGTGATTCACGTACAATTGTCCATACTTTGTTATCCGTATTGAGCTGTATATTCACAGAAACAGAGGACAGGATTTTGAGGGATTCCGTTTAAGAAACGACTGTCGGTAACAGATGAGTACTGCAGGGCGTATTGACAGATGCATCAGCCAATCTGAAATGGTTTGCGGGGGATCCAGTAGAGGGTGCTCTAGTGTCAGTGACCTCTGCTGCGAAAAATTGGACCAATGACCGAGCAGGGATGTGCTAGGGAAATAATCACGACATAAACCCAGAAGGGATCTGGATGGGTTTTCACGTGTTGCATTGTTAAGGGTGTTTTTTTGTGTGTCAACTTTATTCAGAGTAGTTGTCTAACTTAACAAAAACAACAAACCTGCGGAGTCTCCTGCTAGCTCGCCATTAGCAGCGAGGCAGCGGAGGCACTGCATTTAAGCTAGTCATGTCAAAGGTTCAGTGTTTTCTCCCAGGGATGAAAATAACTGAGTCTAATTCATGTTCATTCATAGTCACACCTGATTTTTTGGGAGAAAGTGTCCCTAATCACAAGGCATTTTCACCTCTTGCCACCATTTGCTGCTTTCCGTTTTTCAAACACTGGTATGCACCTTCTCCTCTAAACAATGGCGCTCCTGTTGGTGTGATTCCCCTGTCAACAAGTGCCCATAATCATGTCCGTCCACCTAAGAACTCTGTCCTAGCAGCGCCGGCCCAGAGAGAGCAGCTTCAGCCGGGATCTGGCCTTCAGATGAGCATGTGCTGAAATGAAACTGTTTGGGATCGGCTTTGGTCCTGGAGTGGAGTGGGGGGGGGGCAGGGCGGGCGGGGGGGGGGAGGCGGGGGGGGGGAATGTGGGCAGGGGGGAGGAGAGGGGGGGGGGCCGGGGGGGGGGGGGGGGGGGGGGCTCTGACGGGCGTCTATTGTGACGCCGGCTGCAGCTGTGCCCCACACACACATGTGCTTCCCATTAGAGGAGATGAGGCCTACGCTCTCTCTCTCCAGTGAAGGGGCCTGGGCCCCTGCCAAACAGCAGCCAGCGCCAGTGTCAGCGTGTGTGTGTGTGTGTGTGTGTGTCACTGGGTGACTTTTTAAATAAGCTGTTACTAATTGACGATGAAGAGTACAGGGCCGTGCACAGAGAGCTGTTTCAACAACTTCCAAATTTCCAGCTTCTCACTTTAACTCGCGCTGATCACCGTCTCTGAGCGCTTTTGCATCACTCTTTCCTTTGTGTTTTTTTTCTTTTATTTCACTACACGCGTTTCCAAAATACAACGTGAAAACATACGGATTCATACTTGTTGACCTCCCACCTGTCCACCTGGTTTGGACCGCCCCCCCCCCCCCTCTCGACAGACGCTATTCCCCAGCATTAGCAGAGATTCACTGACCTTAATCTGGGTGACCGGACTGGACGCTCGTTTCTCACTCTTGAGAGTGGAAGGCGAAAGAGGACCCGAGGAGTTGGGAGCCTGTGGGAGGGGAGCCATCTTGGCTCCTGGTGAGATCTGCATGCTTGCCAGATGTGCGGCATACAGCTGCTGCAGAAAAAGGAAGAAACCAGCAAAACCGACAGGCTATTAACATCGCTCGCCAGAAGCCAGTCAGTGGCTTTCCTCTTTCATCCTCTCTCTGCTCTTTTTCTGCCTCATACACACACAACTTTGTCCTGCTGGGTTTTGTTTTCTTTTTTTTTTTGTATCTTGTGCTTTGGCCGCTGGCACCCTGTATAGTTCTGATGGGCGTGCGTCCGGGCCAAAGGCACAGGGCGCAAACACGTGCTGAATCCAACGTGTACGCGCACATAGTCTCACATCTGAAAACCTACAGGAACACCCCACACAAATGGGGGATTAATTTAGGGGATTTATCAGAGACATTTTCCAGGAGAATCTTTTTTTTTTTTTAGTTTGGATGATATACTATCCATCTCTGACACTTATTATTTTAACAGATGCAGAGAGAATCTCCTGCATCCATTATCATTTAGAAATCAAGCTAGAGAGGAAATGCAGATACCTTTTTCTCCTCCGTGTACAGCCGATTTTTCAAAAACTGAAAACGTACTACTTGTATCCTCGCAAATGTTTAAGACATTTTAAGCAGAATATTTAACATGATTCTTTGTACCACAGTTACCCATCGAAATCATGCTTTTTGACGCAGTAGCAGTGTGTGGTGTGTTTGTATAGAGTGCTGATCTCATTCTTGCATCACTCGTTTCTTCTTATAATGCTTGGTGGAGACGACGTTCTTATGTGGCAGTTTAATGTAAATATACCGTCTGACAGTAAGGGGTTGGCAGACTTTAAATCATTATAACTTGTCTCTAAAACATAGACCTTAGCTGAACGCGTTCAGTCTGCTCAAAAAGCAGCTTTCCAAGGAGTTATAGGCTTTTTTTTGTTCTATTCCTGCTTTTCAAACAAAACGCTGTGAAAGAATTAGGTTCGTTTTCTGTAATCTCCCACTGTGATCAGCTGGGTCTCTCTGCCTGTGACATAGCTGTCCTCTGCTGGGTTTAAAAAACTACCGGTAACTCCAACATTCTGTTTTGGATTGGGTGAAACAAAAAGAGGAAAAACTTTAAATGATGAAATTAAAGAGCCTAACGTCCCTTTGGAGAGAGAGTTTTTCCAGATAATGGCAGGAAAGTTCCTGTCTGGAATGCATTGTTTACAGCTAATAACTGCTCTGTAACGTGGACACTAATCATTGTTAACAATAAACCTTTCATTTAAAGAGCTATTTTTCCATTGAAAGATTTTTTTTCTGAATATTTGATCATAGGTCTGCAACTTTGAAAAGTCAGAGACAACTTCTTGACCAGAATTACAAACTAAGCTGTGTGATGAGTGATCTGGTGGCCTTTGGCTGGTCCTGTCATGGGACAGCTCATGAATGACAATGGCGAAAGTCACTCGCATTAAGCAAATGTAATATTGCTGTAATTACATCTCCAAGCATGTGTCCAGTTGGAAGGAGAGAAAGAAAGGCAGGAAGAGAGAAAGAGAGGTATGAATTTCCATCTAGAGTACTTAGCAAAAATCAAAGAGTCAAATCCTCAGCCCAGAGTCCAGGGTACTCTAAATCAAAGCGCGCTGGCCAGACAAACCGCTGCCCCAAACCACTGTCAGCCCCTGTCTGAATCCATCGGAGTGTGAGTGCTGGACAATCAAAGGGCCTGTCCTCAGGAAAACCACCCAGACGTGGTGGGCCCTCCTCTCTTTCTCTTCTGCTTTCCTCTCTTTTTTTGGTAGCTCTCACCTCATCCGTACTCTCCTCCTCCCGTTAAATGCCTGTCTTTGTTTCACCGTGCTCTCCTTTGATCCCCCCCCTCCCCCCCCGACTCTCTCCACTTGTCTTCTGTCTCATAGTTTTGCTCCAGAAATGATTCTTCATATATCTCCCCCACCATCTTCATCTCAGCATCTTCCTCTGTTTTTATTCTCTGCCCCCCTAACCCTAAGTGGCCCCCGCTGTTGTGGGATCTGATTTCCCCGTAGTCAAAACTGCCAGGCCTCCTGGGACACGGGATCCAAAAGCAAAGAAAGCGCCATGGAGAAAAAGAGTTAGAGAGTTTTTTTTTTCCTTTTCTCTTTCTTTCTTTCTTTTTTTGGGGGGAATTTCAGACACACGAGACCACCGTCGCTTCCCCGCCAGAGCGCCGCTCAGCAGTCGGGGCCAGAAAACTTGGCTGGCCCTCTTTCCACTTCTCTCCGAGCGATATTAAACACAAACAGAAGGGGCCTCGCCGCGGAGACAAAGCCCTGATGTCACGCTGCTTATTTAGTTTGGAGGGTACGGCTGCGGCTGGGGCCAGCCCCCGGCGATGTGAGCCCCCCGTCAGAGGGCCGGCGCTGAGGCCGCTCGCGTCAATCACGCTGACCGCAGAGTTACTGCTGGTGAGGCCTGATATTCTTACGGCTGGACGGGGAGGAGGGAGCCCGGCTGGCACGCGAGTCTTCGAGGTAAAACTCACACACTGAGGATCTGGGACCGCCCCCCCCCCCCCCGCACAAACGCAGCGCTCGGCCCGCCGCTGTTGTGCTTGGAGCAGCGATTCTGTCAACAATACGAGAAGAGGACTGTCGAACAAACAACGGATTGATGATAAAAGCTTTTATCTTATTTCTCCCCGGTTTTTTCCGGGCGATTGATTGTGGCCTTGCTAATGTGCAGCGTAAACAAGCCGACCTGGAGCTGGGGCCACGCAGTCAACCCTCCAGGGAAGACAATGAAGCTTTTTCCTAAATTACAAATTGACAAAGGAGGCCTTAAACTATCTGACAAGTCTTGGCGTGTTGGCGCTAAATCAGTGAGGAGAGTGTGGTTTTGGAACCCCCTGATGACCGGCGGGGTTCGGGTCCACTTTGCTGGTAATCCCAAAGAAAAGCATCACGATAGCGCCGTCGCTCCGGTTTGCTACATTGCATTTGGTCAGCAGCCTTCCCCGTGGTGAGGCCGCTCTCACCCATTAGGGCTGAGTGGAGAATCCATTTAGCTGACCTCTTTTAGTGTCAAGCAGCTATCAATCTCAAGGACGCAAAACAAATTAGGTTTTGTCTTTTTCAGCAGGTTTTCCGGTGGGAGGAGGAGGGCGGATATAATGTCACCGACCTGCTCAGGACAGAGGCTGGACGCTGCCCCCTGCCCTTTCAGAAGAGATACACAGAGGCAGAGTACATAAGGACAAATATCGGGCTACTTCTTGTAGCCTTTTATGCAACAGCACCCCCCCTCCCCTCAAGTCATTCTCAAACACTATCATCATTGTTTGATAAGCAGAGCAATAAAGGCTTAATAAGAGGGTGCTGCTAATGGGGTAGAAATACTCCTCACCTTTGTCTCCATGCTTCAGACAGTGAAACAGAAGCGGGCCAAACATAGAGACAGTGAAAGATGTCATATGATTTCAACAAGAATGTCTGCTAAGCAACTGTATTTCCCTCGCATTAGCTGCACACAAAGGGGGCCTTTCTTCAGCAGAAATCCACTGTTTGTGAAGGGCTCTACTTTGAGGCTCTGGAAACAATTGACCAGATCAAGTTCCCACGCCAATAGCACAGCATTTGTGCTATAAAAATTGTTGTTTCAGGTCACGACAGGTCAAGCACAGCATTGCCGCTTTCTCCAAACATCTCAGTTATGCAGCGTCCGATTCTGCTGGGTTTCCTCACGTGAGAAAGGTGAAACAACTTGACTTTCTCAAACTCTTACAGTCGTTCCAACAAAATGGGGAAATGGCAAACCTTCTCTGGGAACAGGTTCCCCTTTACTGCCTCGGAGCTTTAACTATCTAATGGCGAGTCCATGAGCATTTGGGCCAGCCAGCTGTCTTACAGCCACGAGGCTCGACTTTCAAACATCTGGAGGAATCTGACATCTGTCCACCCTGCATAAGCACTGATCAGGCATTAAAGGGATGCAGTAGATACCGGGGACATCACTGAGGAGGAACTAACATGGTGTTATTGTCTACAGTTATAGTTACAGTAACTGTGGTCTTATGAGCAGTAAAGCTCTTTGTGGGTAACTTAAAGCAAAGACTAAGAACTCAGATCAACAACACAGCAGTTTTGTGCTTCAGATCTCCACTATGAGATAGTACTAACATTACCATTTAGCCCCAAAAAATGACTCACCTCAAAAGCAAAAAACATCAACTTATCAATCATTGTAAGACACTTTAGTCTGAGTTTTCATTGCCCTATCCAGTAGCTTGTGAATCTCAGGTATAAATTGATTTTTAATTCACTTATGAGCTCCAATTTTGGCATCAGATTCATAAACAGCAGCTCCTATTCCGACATACAGAGGAGGGGATTGATCGATCAGTGGAAGAATGTGGGACTACACAGCATTCCGTTCAGATATTCTCCCTATCCACCTGTAAATGTTTGTCTTCCTTCGGTTGATCTATTGTCGGTAAGTGAAGGACAAAATGTAATCTTTGTAGGATAATTAATTATTTTCTTTGTAAATAGGATACATTCTACATTGTGTCGCTTTCTGTTAATTTGGGATTCGAGCCAAATCATTTGCAGAGGACCTTGACCAGTACATGTACATGCATGACACATTTTTCCTGCAGCTGCGTTATGTGTGCGCACTAGTCTGACTTTGAGAACTCTACTCAGAGCTATCTCAGCCGGGTTAACACGTCTTTTTAAGGTCTGGTTTCAAACACACTAACACAATGGTTACAATGCAAGGTTGAAATGCAAAATGATGCAAGGCAGCATTTTTCATTCTTTTTTTTCAGTGCTGTATGATGTTGCTGGCCAATTCCATTTAAAAGAGCTTTTATTTTGATTTGGTTAAAGAAGTTATAAGTGTGCCAGAACAGCTCACAGAGCTAATACTTCGTCAATGTCTTTGTTCAACTCACTGGCACACAGTGTAGTCTGTCCCCAAATTTTTCTTTTCAACAAACCCAAAATATTTTTGGGGCAGAAAAATGCCAATGCTTTGCGTATATATATGGTGTGTACATGGGATAAATGGACACACAGGTATGGTGTGTATTTTTGCTACTGGTGTTTTATACCAGCAACAATGACATCATTTTACAAAACAACACACATTTTCTCAATAAGCAGCGATTAGCTACATCACACAATGGCGCTGACATGTTCCGCAGGATTAGCCGTGTCCAAGACTACCGTGTGGAACTAAAACTGTTCATAAAATCCGATAAACACAGTCCATTGCAGGATCTGGGAGAAACCTAGTTTCTCCAGGGAAATCCCAAAACCCTCTCTCAAAGAATCAAGCAGCTCACATGAAACTATAATAAAAAAATGTGGGCACCCCCCACAGAGAAAAGTCGACCTTTTCCTGTGTCCATCTGCACTCATGTGCCGTAACACAGTCCAAGATGGACTGACTGCGATGGAGTGGCACCCCGTTTAGGGTGTACCCCGCCTCCCGCCCGATGTTGGCTGGGATAGGCCCACCTACAGCCCCCCCGTTTCCCCGCCACCCCGTTGGGAATAAGTGGTATAGATAATGGACGGTTGATTGCTTCTGATAGGAGCATTGTTGTATAAACAATGTACAAACACAAGCCGAAGCCGGTATCTCCGTCTCGCTACAACTTCATAATGATGCCTCTTTCTCTTTCCTAAACACTTCCCCACGCTCTGTCTCCCTCCTTTCTCCACTCTCAGTTTTCTGCCTCGATAAGAAACTTCCTCTTTCATTCAGGTGCCTGGCTGCCTCTCATTCTCCACCCATGTCTCAGGCAGCGTTGGCATGTGAATGAGTTAGCGTCTCTGACATCATCCCCCCCCTCACCTCTTACTCACCGTATGACTCTTTTGATCATTTCAAAGCCAGGAGTGGAGACAGGAGGCTCCAATCCTCTCAGCTAAGTGAGCCGCTCTGCTAAGTCAATAGTGGCTAATGAGGGTTTTGATAAGTAAGAACCACAATACAAATTGAATAAACTGAGATAAGGATCCTTGTAACATCCAAAAAAACCATGCCTTGGTAATGACTTACATGATGGAGCAACATTGTTTGCGTGTGAAAAAGCTTTTGAGGGCTCTTGTTCTTCTGGCTGATGGAAGGTACAGCAGGATGGCTGACACGGGTGTGTTGTGCACAACCAAACCGCCTTCAGGGAGTTGAGATTTCATTTCTCCTTCCCTTTATTTCTTTTCAGTACTTTAATTTTTTTGTCTTTTCAAACATGCGCTATGATAACCATTATGGATAAGTGCTATTCTCCAACCACAGGCGTCAAGCAGCAATAAAATATTTGATGAATTGACTGGGCCAGGTGTTGTGCTGGTGGGGCGGAATTCCTCTGCGATTCATCATCACAGCCTTTGTCTGACACAGCTGACAGGCAGCAGAGAGGCTAGCATGCTAGCATCTAATGACCCACAGGTTCACGTTGTGCTGTTTAGAAAAAGCTGCAGCACGTATTAAAATTCCGAGGAAGTCAGAACGCGGCCGGTAGGCTTTGCCAAATAATGCACGCTGGGTCCCCGCCAGCTTCCATTTGCTTCCCACTGCTCTTATTTTACTTGATTGATGAACATATTATATAACGTACAGAAAAATGCATACATACAGCTTAGAGATGGGGCAGTTTTAGTTGTTTTTTCAAAAATCTAGATTGAGCCAACATTTTGGAAGTGCCTGAAGGTGTGCTATTTTTTTTCTTTTCATAATTGTGTTGCACTTTGACCTACTAACTGCAGCTTTGAACCGACTTGAGAATATTTATGCCTTCTCGTGTTCAATACGAAGCTCTTCTCTTGTTATTGCAGCTTTTGCCACAGGCTCTTCCCATGGAAAGTCAATCATCCACTCAACAAGTTTCACAATAACGTTGGTATCTTGGTCTCATGCAAATTATTAAAGGTTTGATGCATTAGCTATGGAATAAAACACTCCACTTTGAGACAAAACACTTTGTTCTCTCAAGTATGCGATAGACAAGGGCTGTTACGAATTCCTTCATTGTGGAAAATCGTATTTTATTTTCAATGTCATGCACATTCAAAAGCAGTGTTCACAAAAGCGTGGGTTCATAAATGAAATTTCCTGTGAATTTCGAGCGAACAAGGTTGTTTTAGAATGACAAATGTGAGGGGTTCATGACTCATTGTCATGACACTGAGGCATGAATAAGTGGAAGGTGAAGAGTGCCATTCCTAGCTCAGAGGTTCACGGGAACAGATAGAATTGAATCTAGTTTAATCAGTTTGCATGAATTGATGAAAAAAATTAAACACAAGGTGGAGCTGCCCCTTTTTCTATTTTGGAGTTAGCATTACGAGTTGCCAACTTAGTTAGGGTAATAGATTACTCGGACTTTCACTTGGTACCCAGACTGTGCAGAAAGTCACCATTAGCAGGATGTGACCCATTCAGAACAATGGTGATGAAAAAAATGATGACGTGAAAAAAGAGAGAACCATGCCATTGCAAATAACATTTAATGCAACTAAATCAAGGCTAATAGACAGACTTGCAAATGTGTCCCGACACTGAATTTGAAAGCAACATAATATTAGTGTAGGCTTGTCTACAATTTCTGCACACATGCACAAACCAAGGCTTTCGACAAATACAGATGAACAGGTTACTGTTACCTGCATGGTTTAATGTTGATGCAGAAGCTTTTGCCTTTCAAAATCATAAGACCTGACATTTTATGCACCAGTGAACTATATTATAAGAGTATTTCGATAGTAAAGCTAATCTGATATAATCATTTAACCTGGAGTCTGAAATGTATAAAAAATGTATCTTGAAATTTAGGTGGGTGCCCCATTCCAGTTCCCCAAATGACTTCACAGCACTTTAAGATTTGTGAGAAACTGATTCTGAATTGCTATTAAAAAAAGAAAAACAAAGTCAGATACGAACTGGAATTGAAGAGAATATGAATTCTAGAATTGTGAATGGTGAACAGGGACTACATCATGAACATGTGTGAAGTGAACTTTAAACCAACTCTTGTAACGGTGGAACTTGTGCAACACTTGTTATTTTGCTCATTTAACCTCAGGGCGGGTTTAAAATGAGCAGGGATTTAATTTGGCTCGACGTCTTCAAGTGTTTTCCATGTAACTGTTCACTTCTGTACAGTTATTTTGGTTGGTTACAAATGGTTCAAACGGTCTAGTCACAACCTCCGGATTAGAGCCATATGTTCTACCTCAGTGAACAAACCCTCAGCCATTTATCTTTTTTTAACCTCTGTTCTTGAGTTAACATGAGTTATTGAAGGGGTGTTTTGTTTGCCTTTGTTCAAGAACAGGGTAAGTGTATATCATTTGACTTTAGCTACATTCGAAAAACCTGTCTGGCTTTGGAGTCGCGTTGTCTACACTTGAGAAAGTTTGACAAACACTTTTTTTTTTCAAGTCAAGCCTTTTTGGAGGTGAAAGACTGTATCCATGTATCCAGAGACACGCCTGACACCCGCCACCTTCCCTCCCTCCCTTACTTATCACCACTCCATTGTCAAACGCTCTGCTTTTGGCTTTGTTTCAAGCATGCAACCTTTTTTTGTTTGGGGAGGATATTACACTTTTTGTTCAACTCTGCTTCACAGATTGAATTATCCAGTGAAAGAAAAAAAAACGTCTTGTGCTTTGTAACAAAGTGCATTAACCTTGCACTTCAGTTTGGGTTCAAGTAAACGTGGAGGTGTTTTTCTCTCACCTGGAGCTGTAATGGGCTGAGTCCCGACGCCGCTGCAGCTGCCATTGTCGACGGAATGAACTGCATTGGGTAATTCTCACCTGGTGAACAAGCAAAACAACACATTATAGAGAGAGGCAGGGGCAGAGTTCAGCACAAGAACAAACCTGCTCTTTACCTTCAACCAGCCGCTCTATCTCTCTCTCTCTCTCCGTCTTTTGTCTCTTTCCCAGTTCCATCTCATGTTTTTATTCACGCCATATAAAACACGAAGGGTCAAGAACGCTTTATTCAAAGGTTAATAGTGCTCACTGTTGCTACACACAGGAGCTTGAGATCAGTGCAGCCTGCTCAATGGGAAGCACTCACATCCTCGTACACAAGCGTTGCGCATAACCCCCCACCGTTTGTCTTTAAAAGGCTTTTCATGTCCAGGGCTCCGTTAGAAACCACAGCAAACTGAAAGAGACGCTACACTAATGGCTTCTGAACTCGATTTTGCGGCCCGGGTGTGTGCTTGTGCGGTAAGCCGGACTAAGCATGGATTATTCGGCTTTGAGCACGGAGGGTTGGTGCACCTGGATGGATATGAGGAAGGGAGGAATGTGTAAAGGACGAGGAGGCATGAGGGGAGCAGGTGGTGCGGGAATCCTGCAGCCAGGACCTGCCCATGTGCACACTGCATCATAGTCTCTCTCCCTCTCTCTCTCTCTCTCTCTCTCTCTCATATTCTCTAGTTAGGTTTGACTTGCAGACTGCTCCTTTGCAGACTGCTGGAATAAGCAGCATGTGTGCCCTCTTTAAACAGACGTGCATGTCTGGGATTGTGAGTGATCCGTTTGCCCTAATCGTGAGTGGGCACTGTTAAGTTGGTGCACCAGATAAAAATGCTTGAGAGCATGTGTGTATGCCTGCATGTGCGTGTGTGTGTGAGTGAGAATGCGTGAAATTCTATGTTGCAGATGTGCGGGGCAAGAGACATGCTTTCAGCACGCCATGAAAGAGACATTCCAGGTCCATTCCTGTGTCCAATGCATTGATCCTGACGCGAACAAGCAGGGCTTGTAAATCTCCCCGCTTATTTCCAGGACATTCCTCACCTGACACACCTCATTAGCTTGGACTGGGATCCCAGTGTGTGTGTGTGAGGATACCTGGCTTGTAGGACATGCCGGGTGGGAAGAGGAAGCCTTGCTGCGCGGCGGCGGCGGCGGCCAGGGACCGCTGGTCGTGTGGAAACACGGGGATCATCAGAGGAGGCATGTGACCCTGAACCTGAGAGGAAAGGAGGAGGGACATGATGAGTGCATAACCTCAAACATGCATAAAGGAAGCTAAGAACAATCACACAGCCATTGCAATATAACACAGTAATAAAGACTGAAGCTGCGGTGTGTTTTTAAATCCGCGTTTTAAATCTCCATCAGTCATTAGTGGCTCCATTCCTTCTAGACATTAAATATTTTATGTGTATGAACTGATGCTTCAGTAATGATAATCCAGAAAACGAGAGAAACAAACAAGTCATTAATTTTTTTTATTTAAATCTAGAAATTCTATAAATTATGTTGGAGTTTCTATTTCATCTCTAGAGTTATCTAAGGCAGAGGAAAACAGTAAGTCAGGATGGAAACCTTTTACCATAAAGAATGTAAGAAAATGAGGATACACTGAAAAAATAACAAAGATGATGCAAAAGGAAAGAGAGAATTAAGTCAAAGAATAAAAATGATAGTAAACTTTGCATATTTTATCTTTTTTGCTATTTCCAGTACAAAGGTAAACACAGGACGTGCATAAAAAAATCAAATTTAAAGCATGAGGGAGAGAAAATGAACTCAAAATAAGACAACAACATAAATAAATCACATGAGCATGGCATTGCAAGGGCATGGTCAAGGTTTGGAACTGAAGGATTCCACAGATTGGAAAGAAAATGACAAAGACATGCGTTCTTGAGAGGCAGGTGTAGAAATTGAACACAAGATGCCTGTTCCGAACTTCAGTGAGGCTGACAGTGGTCTTTCATGTCAGCTTGAAAGACTCTTAAAACCTGAGCGTTCGACTGAGTTAAAACACAGAGGGCTCAAACTAAAGGCGGCATATCAAAGATGACCCTGGGGGAATCTATTAGGGCTGACTGTGCTAAACACCAGACAGCACTTTTACTATCATCTCTCCTTTTTTTCATCTCACCCTTTTTTCTCTTCTCATTCATTTCTGTCTGTTTTGTAAAATAATGTGTTTTTCCTTCATGCCTGCTTGTTCTCAGTTCTCTCTTTGGTTCCTCTTCTTGTCTTCTTGTTTTACTAAGTCTCATTTGTGGAGTTCTCACATGAAAGTTGAGTAGATTTTCAAACATGTTGAAGCCCTAAAGTAATGAAATGCTAATTAGTTCTTCTCAGGATTGTCACTGCATGTATCAGAAAGAAAAATGTCAGATCTATATCTGAATAGTTTGAACCATCATTCATTTTGCCTTCATTGTAAAAAAATGTATTGGCAGACTTTAAAAGAAAAAGGTAAACTTTTTTAAATTCTGATGTTTTGCTTATCAGGACATCAATAAAATGGTTATGTCCTCAGGAAGCAAAAAACAATTCTTTTTTCGCAAGTCGGTTAAGATTGATGGTCTGAGCTCATCGTGGATATCTGACTTTACCTGTCATGCTAGACCAATGGATCACCTCACTCTATTGAACACATATTTATAATAAAAGCACAACTTTTTTGAGCTGGAATACATGACTTCCTCTCAATAACAGTTCTTGTTTCTTCATTGTAAAGTGTTTTTAGGCTATTGGTACTTTTGTTTTCGCTAGCTTGCCTAGGTCTTGAAAATGGATTTCAATTTTAAGGAAAAAAAATTACTAGCCAAGTAACGATGGAGCTGACCTTTTTTTTTCTGTGCTAAACTCAATACAGGAGGAAATTGTCTGTGTTAAAGCATGCTAAATAATTTCAATAACTAAAGTGAAGTCAGTTTTTTTTTTTCTTGTATTTCTGTGAGACAAGCTAGCTTCCCTGATAAGAGCAAAGAATGACGTCAAGCCCATAATCTCTCAGCAAACTTCACTGAGTTTTCTGGCTGCCGGGATCTTATCAGATGGTTACTATAGTGTGTATAGATACGCTGCTTTCTTTACTTTCATTTTCTTTTCATACAACAGCTGCGCTGCTGAGTTTCTGATTAAAATTCTTACATTTTTCGTTTTCTGTTTCACATTGAGTTTTTTTTTTTTTTGACGAGTCAGGTATCATCCTGTCACATCTTCTTTTAAACCCCTTTTTGTTTCATCTCCAGCCATCACGTGCTTATGTGTTCCCTTCTCCAGCCCCTTATGTCGTTTTTACTTCTTCTCTGTGGCTTTCAACAGTCCCTGTTGTCGCTTATCTGTTGTGACTTCAGACGTAGATGAAGATGTAAGAAGCAACCGGCGATTGCTCTTTCCAAAGTTGCTTCTGTTTTTGTCCTCTACTAAGCGGCATCAGTGTATATATTCATCTCCTTTACCACTAATTCATCACCCACAGTGCCCAGGTCCCCCCCGCTCTGGCCTCCTGGGGGCGATCACTACGACGGCTCAAACTTCTGCAATCAGCCAGATTCCACCAGCCTTCTGCTTTTATGAAGCTGCTGAATTAGTGGAATAAGATGCCCGTCCTCTGGGATGTTTGTGGGGTGCGAGGGAGAGTTAAAGGGTCTGTAGCGGGGAGGTTTAAAGAGCATGACTAAATAGATGAGGAGAGAGAGAGTGAGGGAGCAAAAAGACCTGACTGGTTTGTGTCTACTGAAACATTAAAATGATTCATTGATCAATGAAAATTAATGGGGCCCTATTTTGATCATTCATGAATTATGTAAAGCATGTTGATCTCGAGAAAATATCCATGTTTTTAATCTAAAAGCTGATTGAAAACTCAAGGATATGAAGTGACCACATAGTTTCAGGGACTAATTTAACATCGTTTTTCTGTTTGTGTTGCTCCTCATTCACATCAGTCTCCTGTCTACATTTTTCTGACTTCATGTTATTTGACTTTTAAAGTAGCCCGTGGTAACTAAAATAATGAATTCAGTTAACTGAAAGGCCTGTATCACTAATGCATGTCTAATCCTGTCAGTGAATCTGTCTTTGTGCAAGCAAATCCAGATTTCTACTTAGAAAAAGACGATAAAAGAGACTATTTTCCACGTCGGGGGTTGAGGTCACAATTTAATTGGTTAAGCAACGAGCGTCTGCATCCTCAACAGTTGGCTTTGTTTGTGTGGAGGTATACGTGTTCATCGTCTGCTACCAGCTCTCAGGTCACACACTCCTATAAAGCCTCCACACACACAATGGTGCGCTCTGGTAGTCGGATGACCCTGTGAGGCTTTCACACACACGCTAACTCTCACACACAGACAAGCGCTCCGACGTCTTGTGACATGAAGAGAAGAGAATAAAGAGGGAAGAAAAACAAGTCTATGTGTCCGAATGGCAACAGGAAAAAAAGAGAAGAAGAAGAGGAGAGGAGTGGGGGGTGGAGGTTATAGAGTGGGACAAAATGCTCCCATTCATTGTATTCCTTTGGGAACACTGGGACAGACTGGGGCTGCTTCACCAGTGCAAACACACAAAGATCTCCTTTTACCAAAGGGAGGGGGGGTGCTGGATGAATGGACGGGGGAAGGTGGTGCGGCAGGGGCCCCCTCTGCTCGGCCCCTAAGAAAACACAAGGTTGCCTTCCTCTAACTGCCCACCAGACACATCGACATACACACCTGAGCAACAAGAAACATGTGTACACGCGCAGACACACACACACACACACAGTATTAATGGTCCTCTTGTGTGAGGGCAGCAGGGTTAGGGGCCAATGAGTACGTATGTGGTGTGTCTTTATGTTGGTGTGATTGAGAGGGAGAGACCAGAAAGAAAAACATGGCCTTGTCTGACAGGTATGCAGATGTGGATTAGTTGTGTGACTCTTGATTTTGTCCACCACTTCACTTAGGACAGCAAATTTACTCAGGTAAAGTTTTTTTGTTTTTTTTGTAAGGGAGACATTGATCATTGAGGTCATTTGTTCATAGATTAGCTTCAATTGATGAAAAAAAAAAAATGGTTAAAAATTCTTCTTATGTCTTACAGGCTAAAGGTAACAAAAGCACGGACACAACATGGACTCACACTAAAATATTAAGAAAGATCCTGACTGTATATTGACAATTTTGTGGTTAATCTGTGGCAGACCTCCCCTGAGCTTTAATCAATAAAATCAATCACTTTTATTTGAACAAAGTAAGTGGGAAAGTGGTTAATTATCTGAAACCACTAATTCACTTCACAAATTAAGTTGATTATAGCATAAATAATTCTTCAGATTTTGTCTAACTAACTTCTTTTCATTGAATAAGTTCCAAAATTGAATGTAGTGATTGTGTCTTTGGCTGTCTTTGGCGTTAAACAGGATCTGGTGAGGACTCACCAGGGGACAGACCTTATCAGCCGGTGAACTGCCTCCAGTTTCCTGACTTACATGTGAGCCCTGTGACTCCTCCTAAAGAAACAACGCATTGGCGCCAGAGGACACCCAGTCTCATTATTATGCAAAAATCAAACTGTGTCGCACAATAAGAACAACAACTACAGTAACAAAGCAGAATTCTAGTCCCCGGTTCACATGAAGCCGGCCTAAAGGCGTCCAACTGCTGACTTGTCTTCAGACCTGAGTTTGGGACTGAGTGAATAGCTGTGCTCTGCTCTATGAATGAAGGCGGATACATTTAAGGTTCACCACTGAACAACACTTAACACTTACCCATCTTTACTCTCAAATGTTTGTCCCAGCTTTTCTGAGGGAATGGCACCCCTGTAACTTTTAGCTGGGTTGCATTTCTTTTTTAGTTTAAATCTCAGCAAGGATCAATCAATTATTTACCAGACAGCTGCGTAGATGTCTTGGTGTGTAAATGCTATTGTGTGTCTCTGGTTTAGTGAAATGTCAAAGCAGACCAAAGTAGGCAATGTAAAATATTAAAGGAGTCTGATGGTTTTAATTATGACAAAGTGGTGAGACAGCTCCTGTCTGAGAGGGATGAATTCCATACTTGACCGGGCCCCTCTAGTGGCTTCAGTCGCGTTGTAATTCCGTTGTTCTTTAGCACTACAGACATGTGCCTTTTTTAGAATATTCATGCCTCAGATCTCATTTCTTTCTCCTGATGTCACAGCTCTCCTAACGGAAAGCAAGCCAATTCCTCACAGCAATAAAAGGTTGACAATACCTGGATAACTGAGTCCCAAGAAGAAAAGTTCAGGACTTTTTTTTTCTTTTTGGTTGGTATAACCTTAACAGAAATGCATTAAGTGTGTCCATTATATCAGCCCGGTGTTGTCTCAGTGTCTTGCAACACCCGCGGTGCACAATAAAACCACATTTTTAAGGGGAAAGACACAGGATTACTGTTTGCTGCCTATAGCACTTTTTTTAAAGGCTAACTAACATGCTGGTTAATGGAGTGAAGGGAGGGCCATTGTAAAGTTAGGAGTCAGCCATTTTCCCTCGGCCAATCGACATTATGGGCTTTCCGCTGTATTCCCAGTTATTGTGTCTGAAGCTGTGTGCTGACGTATGAGTGGACGATCCATCTGACCGCCTGTTCCTTTAGTGTCCTGACAGGAGAAACATATCTGCTTCCATTCAGGCAGTGGAACAAACGAGAACCTTTTGATTGACAGATGCATTTGCAACTCATTTCTTTAGAATATTGCATCCACCATTTCCCTGATCAATTATTCTACAATAGAATAAATAGACAAAAAATTATAAAAGCATACAGAAAACCATAGTAATATAAGAAGGCAGTGATTGAGGGACAGGAGCCTAAAAAAGAAAGGAGGGAGGAGGGTGAAGGAGGAGACAGAGGGGTTATAAATGAAGAACAGAGTGAGGGAGGAGGAGGAGGAGTGTGGCTTTGCAGTCATTAATTAGCCCGTTAGCTAGGGCCCGGGTGGTGTGGTTAGGGCCTGTGCCTTTGTGGGCCTGAAGGAAATGGGCCACATATGAGAGCCATTATGAGGACTGACTTAACAAAGACACATGCCTGTCAGCCACCAGGCCGGGCCGGGCCGGGCCACTCTGCTCACGGCACACAAAGGCCCGCCAGCACGCCGTGCACGCGTGTGCACGTGTGTGTGCGCCTGTGTGGAGGCTTGTCCATAAATGTTTTTGCTTCTCTGGGCATGCACACTCCCAGACCAAACCGTCCATATGCATGTGGTTATCCATTTCTATATCCTCTTCAAGATAATGTCAGATGCCTATTGTGTTGTTCTTTCTGGTTTACTATTCCAAATACGTCTGTGAATTACAATTCGTGCACGTGTGTTTTATCTGTTGCTCTGGGCATGTCTTCTTTTTGTGTGTGCCTACGTGTGTGAAACTGTATCTGTCAGAATGGGGCCTTCGGAAGCGTTTCTTTAACCCCTGGACATCCCCCGCTGTCTCTCCACACCATTTAAAACCACATGACAGGAAACCTGGGTCACTTTGAACTATGCTCCCCCACAACAGTAGCTGACAAACATCCTGATAGCATCCAGTGAGTGAAGGAGGAGACGGAAGATGGTCAAAAGCAAAAACCGGTCTCTCACTGGCTTTCCATTTGCTCCGCTCATAAATCAGTTACTGATAAAAGCACCAAATTTATCAGTGCTGTTCTTCCTCCGCTGTTTCCTAAACGTAAAACTTATGTTTTGTTTCATGTCTCCCAATAATCCGAAAATTAAGCGCGCGTGCAGGCAAGCAAACTTTACTGCTTCAAGTTGCAGTTATTCAACTTTTCTAGTAGAAACCCTGTTTTGATTACTTATTTGTTCCATCTGGACAACATTTAGTGTTTCGAATGAAGATGTGAACAACAAATAGCATAAAAAAGGTGGGTTTACCACACTGAGGCCCATTCTATTCAGTAGAAACAGTAGCATTTGGTCAGCTCCTTTGAGTATTGGCCTGAGAGGAGCTCAGGTCTGGAACTGATAAGTGGAACCAGACCGATGCAGCACTGCCTGTGTGTTTAAGGCCAAGACACATCCAACACAGTGTAAACAGCCCATACCCAAGTGACTAAACCCTGGAGCTTAGCCATAATAATTCTAAACCTCTGTACAGTGGATACGCCATATGCTTCTTGCTAAGTCGGGTTTGTTTGCCAGTACATGCTATTGTTTGGGAAATTACTTAAAGACTAGAAGTTGCCACAACCCAGCGGTGTGCATAAAATGTTTAGCTTTCGGTGCATTTCATTCTGCACCTTAACGGACTACAAACCGAAGTAATTGTGGACATTCTGACTTTAATTTAAGACAGAGTCAGTGTGAAACTAGAGTTGCGCTGGTTGCTTTTTCACTTGTACTTACAGCTGCTGTTTCTGAAGCTCTACATGATAACAAGCTGCTCTCGAGAGCTATTTTCTGCATATCCCTTCATCCTCAAAACCAAACATGACACAGTATCCGTTGCTTCACAGCGAGGAAGAGGATCCCAGCGCGAGCTGGTTTTATGGCCTTGCTCTCCCCTGGGGCTGGAGGGCCTAATGAAGTCCGATCCGAGCTTTATTAAGATCCAAGGGTGAGGTCTAATAAAGAAGAAAAAAAGAAGAAGGGGGGGGGGGGTTGCGCAACCCCCTCATTAACTCCATCACACCTCCAGAGCACAGGGAGATCCAAAGACCTGCAGCGGTGGGGGGTACGCAGCTGAACTGATCACAGCACCGACTGGATCCACATCGTCTCGCAAACGTATTCAAATGTAGCACCAGTTAACCGCATTAAAAAAAACAATCACACACCGATCAAATGCAAACTGGCCAGATTCCCACGTGGCCATCAGCCACAAATTTGCCAGCATTTGGCTCCCAGCTGGTGGTAATTTCTCGGTGGGTCTGTGTGTGTGCACGGATCTCAGTCAAACACATGTAGGCATCAAAAGAAGATGACAAAGGAAAAACACTGAGCAAGTCAAAGAGAGGAAAAGTCCCGCCGTACACAACAGCGTAGATGTAGAACACCACTTGAAGACAGTGGGTTTGGTGCAATTTCCACTGAAGGGAGTGAAACACGTGCTTAGCAAAAGGCCCACTGGGGGGGGGGATTAAGAGTTGAAGGGAGCCTCGGGGAGACGGCCTTATCGACCGTAGTGTGATCAATCCGACAGATCCAGCCATAACCAGGGCAATTACTGGGTCACTGTGGTGCGTTATGGTGTGTGTGTGACGCTGCACCTCTCCGTATCAGCCCAGCAAAGGGTCACGACCCGCTGTGTCGTTGCCCATTTCCAATCACACACCACACACACCGATAATAGAGCGGGAGGAAAAGTCATCAGTTAGATTGTCCACGCCGGAGGACCGGGCACCAGAAAGGGAAACAGCCGGGATGGACAGAGCAGAAGGACGGGCTCTGGAGGAGGAGGGGAGGGGAGTCTGCAGAGGGTTGTGGGACAGTGGAGAAGGTGTGTGTGTCTACTGACCTGGATCTGCTGCTGGAGAATGTTTATCTTGTGCTGCTGCTGCAGGAGCTGCTGCTGTTGTCTGGCAATCTGCACACACAAACACAACACAATACAGCTCAAATGCCAAATAAAACACATGTGTGTCTGCTGGAGAAAAAAGAAATCTGCATTACAGCACATTTTCGCTTTCTGAGACAAATCTGTGATTAATCGCTGCAGATAATTTCAGCTAAAACCGGTTTATTATACTGGAAAACTGGGTTTTGCTGTTTTATCTCTGATTAGCCATAGACAAAACCATGGCTATGCAATATGTATGGAAGGTGAAATCTCTCAAATGAAAAACAGACCCGGAGAGAAACTCGTGAAATGAACCGGCTGGTGTTCAAGATGATTATGATCAGGAAAAACATGTTCAACAAAATAAGGCAGCAGGCAACGCAGGTCTGTTGGCAGCTGTCAGTGAAAAAAATAAGCTGCAGATAAATTCCAAGAAAACATTCAAGGAAATTAGGTAGAAATGAACTTTAGTCTCATGGGAAAAATTCCACAAACCCAAGGAGGGTTTTATTTTCATTTATAATTCATCATTGATAATTCATTTATATATATAAATGAATAGATATGGACATTTCATATGTCTAACCCTAAGCAAAGGTAACAGGCAGGCAGTCTGATCACTATCTACAGCTCAATAAGTGATTTAGAGCCTGTAGTAGTGTAACACAATCACACCTGTGACACTTGAATGCGATAAAAACCACAAACATGTTGTGATTTGCAAAGGAATGTAGTTTTTTGGACCCATCAACATGTAACACCTCCACAACTTCTGAGCCTGAATGAGGGTTTCACATCATGCAAAACATAAACTTCATAAAGTAAAGCGGTTTTATATGTTTTTGAATAGGGGGGGGGGGGCAAACAATGCAAATCAATGTAGCTTTCTTACAATTAGGTGTGCGCTGACATGTCTTCTTGACCTGAGATTATCAGCTCAAATAATCCTTTGCTTGCTTTCATGGAAAATGTGTCCAACTCCTGTCAGTAGTGAAGGAGAACGTTTATAAGAAACATCTCATCACTGACAATGAATCTAGCAGACTGACATGTTTACAACAGCCCCCGTGCCTCTGGGACCCCCCCCCCTCCCTCCACAGTCACACGGTGAGCCATTATCTCTTCCTCTGATTTTTCTTTTCTTGTTCTTAAGTTTTAACAGCTTCTATTATCAAAACGTTGAAGTCATGGTGAAACCTTGAGTTTCCTCCAGTGACTGGAGGGAATGGCCCATTGTGAGAGGTTCCAACCTTAAAGGGTTACTGTGTCTTCTGTCTTATCCCACACATTGTGAGACAGAGAAGTCAGGCAGCTGCCTCCTATCTCTCTCTCTTTCTTTTTTTTTTTTCTTGAGGAGTCATTTAGTATATTTATTCCTAAATGTAATTACAGGCTGCTGAATGGTAGGCGGCGCCCAAATTTGCACACATGTCATATTTCATTAAAGGCAGATTTCTCAGGGTTTGTCTGTCTGTAGGGCATTATCCTATCAAGTCTCAACAGCCAAATGACTGGCCGATACTGGAATCTGTCTTTCTTTTCACTCTCCCCATCGTGCCTGTTCTTTTGTAAAGCTGTTAAAGGTGGTATGTGTTTTGATGGGAGGTGTGGACTTGTCCAAACACAGCCCGCCATATGACAACCTAAAGCGACGTGTCAACAAACAGCAAAAACAAAGAGCCGCTCACCTAAATGCCTCCCTGCTCATTCCCCCCCGGTCCCCCCTGACTCAGACCGTTTGCTTCTTTGCTCTTCGTTGCAGTGCGACGTGCACAGGGCTGCGTCCAGATCGATACCTTTTCTGAAGTTTTAGGAAGCCACATTCAGTGGCTAGGTTTTTCACTAATAGGAAATATCAGGGGACCGTTCATCACTGATGCCAAGAGAAAATTTGGGGATTGAATGATGATTAGCAGCTCACTAATAAGAAATAACTTATCAATGTATCAAGCTCAGCTCATGTTTTTTATTAAGCCTCAAAAAGGAATTAATTTGAGAAAGAACTGCCGCTTACTCACCTATGTAATAGACAAAAGGACTCCACACTAAGATCGTGATGTCAAATGATCTGAATCCTGTTTTGCACGCCAACTATTAACTAATTATTTTGCAAATGTAATAATGGCTAATTGATTGACTTTTGCTCCTTAGCACAACACACGTTACCTGTGTCTTTAAAGAGTACAGGATGGTTGCAAGTCTTTGGGAATTTGCCAGTGGCCACAAACGGCAGGCAGATGAAAAAAATGTTTTAGTTAGGAAACTACATTTGACTGGAAAACAAGTTTAACAACGCATAGGAAAGCTGTTTGCAGAACTAGAAGCTCTTTTCATTCCTCATTGACCCGGGCTGACCACTGGTGTTTCTTTAGCTCTCCATAGTGATGACTCAGTCATCAATAAAACGGTTTCTACTAGCGAGAACCTTCATGGGATCCTTCCACTGATGTGTCAGCTTTAGTTTTCTCTGCAGCCTAAGCTAGCAACGACAACAACAGCATCACCCAAACCACTGAATAGTATTCTGGGCCAAATCCCAATTAGGTTGTCAAGGATGCTCTCCCTTTAATCAGCACTTCCATTTTGAATTTGATCAATCGACCTCTACTGACAGGCTTTGTGCAGCAGACTTTTAAGGTTGCTGTTAGTTCAAAAGCACACCCTTGATCCAGGACTGTTAGCTAATTAAAGACCTAACACCCGTCTCCCTTTGAAGTCTTAAATTCTTGACAAAAGCGTCGCTGGTTAACTTTGTGAGCGTTTACACAGAAATAGTCCATCAGAAAAGTTTCGGTCTGGATTCAGTTTCCATACTTATCCTTTCGGATCTTGGCATTTGATTTGATATGATCAGTTAGAACATTGTAAGTGGGAAAGAATGCATTAGGCTATTTTGGCTCATATTTATTGAATAGATTCAGTTTCTACATGGAAGCAGGAAATCTTCCTCCCACGTCAGAGGGACCCATGGAATTCTGGAATTCCTGAAGTTTCCCTGCTAGGACCAAATGTTGTCACCTTAACAGTATTCTGTTAGCTCACACTGGACAACATGGAATACATTTTCATAACTATACTGATAATATAGTGCTGTAAAACTAGATTAAACCAGTCACTTAGAAAAACAAGCATGTATTCCAAACCAACTGGGCGTCTCACAATCTTCTTCTTCTAAATTAGTATTTGGACCTCAAGGCTTCAGGGGAAAAGCATCTAGTTATTGAAATTCAACACATTCTGTTTCTGAATGAATTGACGGTGCATTCATTATTCTGAGATGTAAATACAGCCATTTCTATTTTTCTTAATCTTTAAAAAGCCGCCATCGCATCCAAAACACTGCAGTTAGAATTCCGATGAGAACGATCAGGAGAGATCATGTTGATTGTGTTAACTTATGGTTAAATTTTTAACCATAACTGGTTCATGTACATATGACATTGATGATATCATTAACTTGTGTTGTTCTTTTTTAGCAGGTAGCCTTGGACTGATGATAAAGTCCTACTTTATTTAAACTGGTTTCACATGAATATGACTAAATAGGACCCCAATTTGTTTTATTAGACCCCAATTAACCGATTGGATTATCACAGAAGTGCTTGAATTTTTCCACTAAATGGATAAAACTGAACTCGGTTGGATAGAAAAATACAAACTTGGTGAGCAAAAACTTTAACAGGAGATCAGTGTACATTCAAAAGAGATAGTGGTCAATGACTAGAATGAAATAGTCAATAAATTTGAATATACAAACCAGTTCATGCTATTTATTATTAGATACAATAATAGCTCTTTTTCTCTCGTATCCTTTATCCTTTTTTTTTCAAATCAGCTAATATTTAACGAGTGTCTTCTCGAGAAACAACCCCATAAGCCGGTGGTGGTCTTTACTAAATTTCGTTATGACGTCCATGTTTGTATATGTCTGATGATATGTATATACTGCTTATCATGGCCAAACTGAGCACATGCCAGAGAAGGCGTAGGCTATTAGTTTAGTTAGAACCTTTATCTTCATATTGTGCTTTAGTTGAATAACTTTTTGTTTGACTTATATTGACATATTTTCTCTTTGTTTATTAAAGTTGTTTTTTTGCTTGTGTTTGTTATTAGTTTGAATATTTTGGGTCTATTTTCAAATGATTTGGACATATCAGAGGACACGTTGTCCTTAAAGAAATTCAGCTGCCGGGTTCCACATTAAGCAACTCTCTCTCTCTCTCTCACACACACACACACACACACACTCAGAGACTTCCTACCTGCTCCTGCTGCTGTCTGGCCAACTCCATCTGCTGTCTCTGCTTCTCCAGCTGTGAGGCGGCCATTTTTTTTTGCTCGTCATGAGCAGCGAGGAGCTGCTCCCTCAGGCTGATGAGCTGACCGATCATGGTGGACAGTTGGCGCTCCTTCTCCTCCAGCGACTCTGGCGTACCTGGGAAGGAAATTAGGAAGCCTTACAGTTTGTAGCAAAGGACAAGTCGTCTAGATAGATTTAAATTGTTAAATGTGATCTGCTATCACCAGTGATAGCAGAGCAGAGCATAGCATAGCATAGCATAGCATAGCATAGCATTGCATAGCATAGCATTGCATAATATAGCAATAACTGATCTACTTTTCTTGGTTTGTGCCATTTTGGAAATGTTTAATTTGTATAAAAGTACATCTCCAACAGGTTGCACCACAAATACAAATAAAAAACAAGTTCTTTTTGCCAACATAACCTCTTAAAAAAACAAACACTCATTCCACAATGCCCATAAATCATCTGCCTTGTAGTTATATCTCACTCCTTATTATCTTCTGTCTTGTCTCTTCATGTCATCACATAGTGTCTGCTCACAAGAACAATAAAACAGCTTTGAGTTAACGTCTGAAAATAAGTAGCTGTTACAGGCTTTTGTCAGGTTTATGATTTAGACATTCTTGGGAAGTCTGTGGGCGGATACCAGAAAGATTCAAAAGTCAACGTGGTACATATTGCAAAAGACAGACACATTATTGCCAATAATTGCCTTTTACTCCAAAAACTTGGAAACCTAGTGTGATATTTACAACAAAATGTACCGACTCCTTCACATGTCATCTATTTACCTCATGCAAATGCACAGACACCCCACCAACTACCCAATAAATACTTAGGAATCTGGTTGTTTCTGGTGAATGAATAGTGTGTTGAGTGATATGGAGTCTGCCAACACCGGAAGGATTTTTTGTGCAGGACAACCAAAAGGGAACGGTCATAATGATCACACCAGTTTTAGTCTGGAACATTTCTACTTTTTCTGTCTTTTTTCTATTATTTTTGTCAATCTCTATAACTTGTCAACAACAGCATACCCTGACTTTTTTAAGCCCTGAGCTGCCCCATTACAGACTGTGCACACAGAAAAACTGACATTTTCTTGTCTTAGTGTGGGGCACTTATGAGTTGTCAATCATGCAGAGTTCCAGCTTGACTTCAACATTTAAATGGATCATAATCACTGTCCAAGCTTACATGCATGCAGGAATTAAATTACTGCCTGTCTGATGCGGCAACACTGCGGATTGGTTCGAAAAGAAAGGGGATAAAAAGACTTTCTGAAGCTTCTAACTTTCTCTGTGGGTGAACATATAATATCACGATCTGGAAATGCTTTTCTTGAGCACAAGGTAACAACGGAATGATTTGTATCCACTTTTTTTTCCCTGTGTTTTTTGCTGTCTGACCAAAGAAACAGGGGGAAAATTTTAATCAGAGCAGCTTTAGCAAGCTATACAAAGTTAACTTTTATTATACGCATTATTGGGCCTGAAACAACATTCCTGGTTGAAGCAGCAAAACAGAATTTTCTGATGGCAAATCGGAGGAAAGGGAAAGGAATTCTTACACAGTGAAGGCAGCACAGCATTCCCAGGTTGTGGCGTTACTGTTGTTTCTTTGTGTGAGTCTGACTGGGTATTTGAACACGTTGTTATTCTCACATGACGAGCCATTGCTTCTGGTTCACTTTTTGGCATTGAGGCTTCAATCAGCATGAAAACACTATAACTTGCATGCATTTGTGTCCCTTTTCTCCCAATTGCATGTGTGTGAGTGCACCCATGCCAAAGTTGACCATGTCTAAAGGTTCATGTTCTTGTGTTTGCATGTGTGTGTGTGTCGGGGGGGAGTGTGCGTGCAGGGTCTCGCCCTGGGGCCATGTAGGGAGATTGCAGGGTGGCCCCAACACTACCTGCATACTAACAGACTCTCCATTGTAGTCCTGTCAGGCCTCCTATTGTACCCCAGACTGCCCCCTCTTCCCACACACACAGACACACACCACCCTTGCTCACACAGAAATTACCCCTCAGCACCCCTGTATCAAAGGCAACATTCTCCTCTTCTTGTCTCTTTTTTTCCATGCTTCCATTCTTTCTTTTTCTGGGTTTCCCCAAAAGACCTCCCTATCAGTTACTCCACTTCCTAGTCCAGATTCTCTCCATGGCCTCTGCCTTCCTTTCTTCTAATTTCCACCTCATTTGGGATTTTCTTTTAACCCTGCATCCAGTTTCAGATCATCAACCATTCGCTGAGGTGTTTTTATTCCCCTTTTTTATTTCCATAGTTTCCTTTCTTTTTTCTTCTTTTCTCCCTTCTTTCTCTTTTCTATCTTACTTTCATCCACTCTTCTCTGTCTCTGGCTCCCATCTTGTACACTAATCTTGGTGCGCCAGTTTCCTCGGCTTTTTTCACAAGTTCTCCCAATGGCTTCCAGCTCCTCCCTTTCTCTCCCTTTATCACCACTTTTCTAATACGCTCTGCTGTTATCACCACTCCTCTCCTCCCTTATGTTCCCTTTTCACTCCTCCCTATGTCTTTTTGGCCAATTTAGTCTTGCAACACTGATGGATGCTTTATAATCTTGTCATGCCTAACAACACACACACACACACACACGTAACCTTCTTCCTATTCCCTCCTTCTCTCCATTCCTTGCAAAGAAGTGGAGCCTATTGTGTAATCACAACAACTGCGATTACAGCTCCATGATTCATCTTTGTGGATTACGGCTGGTGCATACCCAACGCAACGCCTTGCGTTCCTTAAACACTTCTGGCAGTGATAGCCATCGAAGAAGTTTCCGTTTTGCATCTATCAGGATAATTCCTGACACCTGCTGAGGACAGAGAGCCAAAACAGAGAGCCACGAACAGCTTTCCTGCCGTGTTTGGATGACGTCAGCGATCTGTCTGTGAGCCAGTGGGAAGTTTTTCTACCGCTTTCAGGCTATTTCAAACTTTCATGTCTGGATCTAAGATTTGTGTCTCTTTATTTCACAAGTGGGATAAAAGCATTGCTGGATCGGAAATTAAACTAATTTATTCACATGTCAAACTTAAACTTTTGGTATTTTTGGAATTTTGATGTTTTATGTCCACTTTTTTTTCCAACTTTTTTTCTTTCGTCAAGCAAAAGGGACATTGCATAATCAAAATGCTTTTTTAAAAATACACATTTTAAAAGGACCACATTTTCACTTTATACCAATATGCTTTCTACATATTAAAAAGTATATTTGTATTTTTTCCTTTTATATTCAAATGTCATCACCTAATATTCTTAACCTTATGGATTAATTGGTTGAATAAACACAGTGCCATCCAGAATTTTACTAACCCCACGTTTTTAACAAAGTGAACACTCATTTTCATCTACCTGTTTACAAGTACATGAGTAAAATAATTTCCTTGAGAATAAAATACAAAACAAAAAGATAAACTTCATTGTAAAAACTCTTGTAAAATCAGTTGTTTAGGTTAAGATGCATTGAAACAAAACAAAATGACAGTTTTAGATATCTGGCTCATAAAAAGAGGTCAGTCAACATAGTTTTTACAAAAAAAGACTCAAAAACTGCACGAGTACTATATTTTCCTTTCTCTGTCCTCTCAAATATTGCTAATGTCTGGATTATTATTCACATTTCTGTTCTATTCCTTTGCTTATTTCAGACTTTCCACAGCTAAACCACAGGACTTTTTCACACCAGTTCCAGACTGGACCTGTTTCTGGGAGATTCTTTATTCTTGATGCACTCTGAACAGAACATGGGTAGGGTAAGAATTCAGGTAGTCAGGTGTACATGTTACAAGAAGAATAAAAGGCCCGCATTGAAAAGGTTCCACTTTGGGATAAAAAAGTATCCTATTCAGCTCAGTTTCTTCCCATTTCCAGAACATATTAATTTGCAGAACTGTCTGTTCTGTGCAGACAAAACAGGAGTTCTTTCTTTTTTCCTTCGATTCAGTGCTTTTTGATGGTCTTATAAATTGTTATAGTACATATTAATGTGATCATCTTGATAAAAAATATTATTATTAGAAATTATTCTAGTATTTTATTATAGCCTTATTCACTTTATTCTAACTTAAATTAATTAATCTAATTAACATTTAAACCCAAATGATATTGAATCCCTCATAGAAGTAATAATCACATCTGAACATTTTCTTGCCAAGTCATTCTCCCCACTGTGAGTTTGATCTGTGACTCACTGGTCTCATGAAAAAAATTGTGTCTTGACCACTTTGCTTTAAACAAATACACCAACGCACACACAGGGACTCCAAAACAAAATATATATATACTCTCACACACAAAATCTCTGTGACTCACGATGGCACCTCTGACTAAACTCTTCTACCAAACCGTCACGCTTCCCAGCACACAATGACTAAACACTTCCTCACCGCCACACCGCGACACACACTCAAAACACGGCCTCCCCCATTGTCACATTCACACTGTGCACGTTAAGGTTTAGCACAGACAGCAGCGCAGACAGACAGAAGAATACACCAGCAGAACAATTAAGGAGGCAGGATTTAAAGCGCTCTGGATGTGAGGATTATTATTGTTGCCAGATGTGCTGTCTTAAGTGTTTCTTACATTGTAATGAGATGCAATCCGTCCATCTGTTCCTATGACTTTTTCTTACTTTCAATTAGAAAAAAAGTGAATTCTAAATATTGTTAAAATGCAACAAGAAAAAAGGGAAGGTGCCTGAAGATGGAACAAAGTCTGATAATTATTTTTCAATACATTATTCTCTTTTAATAATTTTCTAGGAAAAAATATGTGACATTTTGGATGATATTAGTGTTTTTCCTGTCTTATAATCACACTGTCCTATTAAATAGAGTGTTTCTCAACTGTAGATTTTACCATGTTTACCTATTCTGTGTAGATGCCTTCATGAGGATTAAAAACACTTTACTGACATATGCTATTTAAAAGGAGGCAGAGAGCAAATAAAGCTCTGGAGTAGGGTTTAAATTGACTGATGGAGCAAATAGCATGATGATAAAGACTTAGAGAGCAAATAATCACAGGACCAAAGTGTTGTAAAGTTCACATTTTCCCTGCAAGAACTCTTCAGAGGACGCACTCGCTTTGCCATGTTTTTTTTGACAGATGCTCCTGTGAGCAACCACAGCTCACCGTACAGTGCACAAACCCTCCTCACATAAACAAGAGGCATGCATTTACTGTATACACTGCAGGCTGAAGTGCACTTGTGAGCGGTAATGAATGTTCCAGTGAATTAAAAGGAGGGGGGCGGCTCATCAGTTTACTTCACCCTTAAAATAACTGCGACCGAACAAGTGGGTTCGGCTTGTTGTGTGAGGAGACACAGGGCGACAGTTGTGTTTGTGGATTTAGGTCAGCCGGGCCGGGGCTCATTTCAACCGTCAGGCCGTAAAATGCCCGGCTGTGTTCGCAGCATTTCTTCAGCGGGACCGAGGAACACAGACATCTGTGAGCACGTCTGCCTCTGGGTTTCAGACTATTCCGGCAACTTCACGTTGACTCACTTCAAGAGACTCATAAATGTGTTATGTTAAGAATAATGAAGTAATCACTAATGGTGTATGATAAGAGTCAATGAAAAAAAGGAAAAATAAAGGAATGCTATCGAACATTGCCTTAAACCGCTTTCACCATTCAAACTTGCACACCTAAATATACATATACAAATAAATATATAGATTTATTCTATTTTTTTATTTAATAAATGTTTTCTTTTGGACAGTTTAGATGTGGACATGGACTAAATGTCTTTTTAAAAGTTACACAAAAAGCAGTTATTCAAATATATGGATATGAGAATATTTCTTATTTAACTTCCCGGTAGAAAAAGTAAATGCATGTGTGTTTCCAGGTTCGAGGGCTTTCTAGACTTTGGAAGAGTGATCAGCTGGTCATTAGTGGGGCTCGGACAGAGTCAGATATGGGCAGTGAAATAAGCCGCCATGTCTGCTGCCTGCTAGAAGGCCCTCTTTCACCCCCTTCTCTTCTCACAGGGGAAGCATTTGTCATTCCAGCAGGAGCCAGAAACGGCTTCCTCAGGTTTTCTGCATCGTATCGTCCAACAAAATGCCTTTTAACAAAACTGGCGAAAGGAGGAGTTTTTCAAATTTGAGGCACAATAATTACGATAAAAGATATTGCTTCTATGTTATATTAGTTGTAAACTTGGATATGGACATAAGACTATAACTCTCTCTGAGTGTCGCACACAAAAAAAAAAGATTTAGTTTGTAATGATGGTCTAGATAAATTCCAATATATTTAAAACGTTTTTAATTTAAAAATACATTTTGAAACGGCTTAAGAGAGACAAAAAATGCGAATAAAACAGAACGTTGGGTCTTGGTCATACCGTTAAAAATGGGACATATGATTCCCTCCCGTCGCTGCCACTAACTGAAAGGAAACATAAGATCCACAACGTCCCCATTTTCCCGCCTGCAGCCGAGTAGGACAGGAGTGCATTCCCCTCCACGCGACTTCCACTCTCATAAATTGCTGATGTGGACAAAAATGATGGAAGCTTGTGCCGTTTCCTCCCCTCATCCACAACCTTTAATCAAAGGTGCAATTACAACCTGTGCTGTGTAGAGCAGCGCGACAGGAAGTCGGGCGGCCGTTCACTCTGCTGCTTTCACATGCAGAAAAGGATGAAAGCATACCCCATCAGGGCAGAATGACAGCGTATCTGAGCACTGCTTACCCTTGAATTCAGGCTTGGTAAAGCAGAATCTTTTTATTTTTTAGTTTATTCTTCATCTTTTGTGCGCATAGCACTTGCTTGCTTTGTAACACTGTTCATCTTTCAGTGAACCAAGGAGAAAAAGCTCCAGATGCCGGAAATCTACAGGCCTCCGAAAGGTACCAATTACCGTCTTCTACCTGCTGCTTTTTCCTCCAATGTACAGAATGTATTTTTGCCCGAGCGGGAACAGAGCAGCGCACACAAAAACCTAACAATCTCACACACAATGAGAATGCAGATGTGGCTGAAGCTGTGCACGTGAACGCTGGCCCTGATGTGGATCCTGTCAGCGACTCTCACCTTTAA